TGAATTTGTATTTCGTGACCTTAGTTTTGAAGCAATATAGTTTTGGGTTTACCAGTTGTCTTATTCCAATAGGAATGTCCACACTTAAGCAACTCATCCCACTAAGTGGAAGCTTGTGGTAAATGCTGGAGCGAGGAGCTTGGGAGACTCCATAACCCTTCCTGACTTAGTCTCCTGAGGCTCAACAGGTTATATGTAGAGAAGAAAATTCATTTTATTTTTGCCATAAATGGTAAGGAGAGAAGAATTCACTTACAGTCTTTCAGTCCTATACTGGTTTCTTCCCTAACTGCCTCCCCTCTCTCTCCATCTTTCTTTTCCTTCTTCCCAGCCTTCATTTTTGAGCTTCCTGATAGGTTAGCTGAGACAATTAACTTGTATCTAGAAAACTTTAGAAGCTGGTCAAAGCTTTTGTGGGTCAGCGAAGGTATTTGTGAGTCAATAGATCCTACTTTGAAATGCTAGGACGTAAGTTTGTGCTCAGCCACTAAATGCCTCTGGGAAGGTTTCCTTTGCTCCTGTGAAGGAAAACTGTTTAGTACTGAGATAGGTTGCCACCAAGAGACCATAATCTATTATGATCCCATTCTCCAAGTGGTAAATCAAGAATCACAGTCTGTGCTCCACAAAGTCTTAAACAATTTTCATATATAATTCCACTATGAAATTACTTTTCTATAAATGGTGACTCCACACAAAACTTTACTTTAAAAGTGTATAGGACATAATTCTTACTTCAGTATAAGGTGGTCTTCACTGTGTATTTTCTTTTTTTTTGTAGTAAATAAACATAAAGTTTAATCATTCTTCTTTGCAGATGATTATGAACATATAAACTTTTTAAAATATATTCATGTTTCATTAACTCTCTCATGTGTGCACATAACTGCACATAAAAATTCATGATGACATTCGACATGATTAAATGTAAAGAAAAACATAGATGTTGTTGCCATACTCTGCCTTATATTTTGATAGTTCCTATTGGTTAATGTCTCTTTACCTGCTTTGCACATCAGGGATTGAAATGGCATTTAGCTAGGCACCATCTAATTTCTTTTCTTTTTTTAAAATTTTATTTATTTATTTATTAAAGATTTCTGTCTCCTCCCCGCCACCGCCTCCCATTTCCCTCCCCCTCCCCCAATCAAGTCCCCCTCCCTCATCAGCCTGAAGAGCAGTCAGGGTTCCCTGCCCTGTGGGAAGTCCAAGGACCACCCACCTCCTTCCAGGTCTGGTAAGGTGAGCATCCAAACTGCCTAGGCTTTGCTTTTTATGGCAAAGGAGTCTGTGAAGGCCAAAGGAAACCATTGCAGCTATGGCTACCTATATAAGAGCAGCCAAAGACCAGGCAACAAGATGAGCCACCAGCCCAGCAGACAACACTGCTTGGGCTTAGAGTTCCAAATATAAAAACATCAGCATAAAAGTGTGGCAGGGAGGTGTGGGGGCAGTGCGAGGGAGGGCTGTTTAGTGGTAGGTAAGGTTTTATGCTCCTCCCCTTTACGGGTGCACACTCCACCACTTGGCTAGTTCAGTATTGCACAGTAAGGTTTCCTTGTGAATTCCCAAGCAGGCATACCACAGGCAAAGAATGAATTGACCCAAACATGGAAAGAATTCCAGTCAAAATAATATAAGCAAAGTACAACATTACAACAGTGGATTTAAATAACATGAGGATATTATGATTAGTAATACGTAGACACTATCTTAAGAGACAGTGGAACCTCAGAAACATTGGCAACTCAAGCTTGAATGGTAACCATCCTATGCAGAATTGCTGTCTGTGGTGGACACCATCATGCTTTCAGAGGGTGGTTAGGAAGTCACTCAACCTTCCAAAGTGAAAGTGAAGATACAAGGGAGGAGGAGAAAAGACTCAAAATCAGAAACAGAAAAATGTGGGCTACTTTCAAATAAAGTAAAATTGATAGACATCTGGATCCAAACACTTCAAGTTAGAGCTACCCTGATTTTATCCACTGCTGACCCTGTTTAGCCAGAGAGAAAAGAGAAGATGAAAGAAGGGAGCATTCAGTAAGCAAGAGATGAATACTGGAACCCAAATCAGGTGACAGACTGGCTGTTCTCTGTCCTACCATGCACAACGACAGATGGCGGAACACACCAGCACCCAGCAGCTGAAGAAGACTGAGCAGCTTGCCCAGCTTACCCAACTCATGAATGTTGGAATCAATATTTGAATTTATAGTACTGAAATCGTAAGCCTAGTGGGCAAAACTCACAGAGATTCTCTGTCAAGGTAAGTGGATGACATTATCCTTGCGGTCTGATTGGTCCATCTGCCAACATGGAGGGTGTGTGTGTGTGTGTGTGTGTGTGTGTGTGTGTGTGTGTCAGGGATGGAATCCGGGGCCTTACACATGGCAAGCAGGCATTCTACTCTCAGCTGGGCACCATCCTTAAGAAGACTCACTCTTGTGGAACCTGAGATGCTAAGTCTCCAGGAACCTCTGCTGAACTGGGCATCAGTAGTCAAGCGGGATAAGCTGGCCATAGGGAATGTAGAATTATGGTAGCCCTACCCCATTCTGGGGATGCAGTTGAGGAAAGAGGTCACAGACTCAAGAATAAACCACATCTTCATGGTGATTGGCACGTGAAAATAAAGGAAGCAGAGTAAACTAGGAGGTCAATTGAAAAAGGAGAGCATCATATACTACCTTAGGGAATCTTGGAGGAAACTGTGAGAGAGAATTCCAGGGTTCAGGAGTGAGGACTTGGGTTTGCCGAAACCATCCTATATATCTAGTAAAAGTTGTTCTGGGTTATCCAGAGGTCAGCTACTGAAGTAGACTGAATAGTGCCCCCCAAATTTCACATCTTTCTAAAACCACTGAATGGAACCTTATTTGGAAATAGGATTTTGAAAATCTAATTACTTAAAGATGTTGCAGTAAGGCGCATAAACCTGGATTTAGGATGAGCCCTAAATCCAAAGATTGGCACCTCTTTTCTATGTATTTATGGAATATGACTTAATGTTTCTGTGAGTGTTCCTGACACGTAGAAAATGAGGCAAGTTGAATAGCACAGCCATAACTTCATCTCTTGTGATGAGGATGTTTAAAATCGGCTGTCTTAGTGTAGTGCTTGTCTATGTTCAAGTCCAGTGCCTGGCATCTACATGTGAAAATAAAGGGACCTCTGGACACAGAGACAGGGGAAAAGCCAGATGAAGACAGCAGCCAATAGTGCAGCCAAGCTGACATGGCTAAGGAGTGCTGGGTACACCAGAGGCTCAGAGAAGCGAGCACTGAGCCTCCCAGGAGCCTCGAAAGCCAGTGCCTCTCAGACATCCTGAGATCAAACTGCTGGCCTCCAGAAACATGAGGGAATAAGCTCTTCCTGTGATAAGACACCAGATCTGTAGGACTCTACCATGGTAGTACCAAGAGACGACTACACACAAGTAATAAGCATTTAGCAGCAACAGGAAGACACAGCAACTCTGGCACTCACGGCCCTGTTCTAGGGTTTCTGCCAAACAGTTGTCACTTAGCTCCTGTATTCTGCGCAGAGCATCAAGACGATGGTGGCAGCTGAAACCCATGACCATCCCAGCTGGAGAGGAGTGAGTGGTCCCAGCTTTCTAGGTTGCTGCAGAGACATCTCAGGTGGCACAGACATTCAAAGGACATGCTGTAGTCTCGATCACTGGGGAGGGGGCTGATGGTTTTCCAGCCTGGCCCAGATTTTCATACCAAGGAGTAGACCTCATCCTATGCCACAGCTCTCAGAAAGAGTTGTTCTGATCACTGTGCAAACACTGATGGATTGAGATGGGTGAGGCGAGTTCAGTACACACCTTACTGCATGCCAGGAGCAACTGCCACAGTGAGCGGGGCCTGTCAGCACTGAGAAATGGCCCAGATCTGGGAGCCCATTTGCCTCTGCTCCTGTGGTCCCTTGTGCATCCTTCAACAACTTACATAGCTGTCTGAAGGGGATGGGACGGGTGACACATACTTAAAGATCAGGCTTTACCACAGATGCCTTTAATTCAACCATGTTAAAAAAAAAAGTGCCATTACAGATAGTAAATAAACCAAACTTTCCAAGTTTGGTGCCAAAAGATGATGCAGGGTTGAGGTTGAGATGGGAGAAACTTGAGATGAAAGTTTGGGTCCTTTGGAAGCCTATGAACAGTTAAATATTTGGTCTGTTGTTCTGTGCTCATCCTCAGCCCACGGGGGTGGAGGGGATGTATGCTCCCTCAGCCAGTCTCTGGTTTTGGAATATGCTTGTGGTGGGAGACACAGAAGTAGCCCTTCCTTCTGCTGGCCTCCTCAGATACACACACCAGGCATTGTGTTAGTCCTTGCCATGTCCACATGTACAAACCATATCCATCTTTTTCTGTTGTTGTTGCTTTGATTTGTTTTTCGAGACAGGATTTCTCTGTTAAACAGTCCTGGTTGTCCTGGAACTCAACTCACTCTATAGACCAAGCTGACCTAGAGCTCACAGAGCTCCACCTGCCTCTGCCTCCCAAGTGCTGGGTTTAAAGGTGTGCACCACCACCGCTTGGCCATCTCCATTTTATTCCTCCTTCTTCTGACCTCACCCTGTATTGCTGACCTTACTAGAAAGTCCTAGCTTAGTTAAACCGCCATACTGAGCCACAAACCACCACAGTGTCCTCCAAAAAGAACTCAAGACAAAAAAAAAAAAGACAACATCCAACAATGACGCACACCCAGTGCCAAGGTGTGTGAGCATTGGTTCTGTGCTGAAGCCAAGCAATTGAACTTAATCTAAAGTAAAGACACAAACATATCTCCCCAGGGAACCCAGAGGTCCAGATTGACTTTCCATGTGCTCTCTCTTACAAATGACCTCTGTCACTCCTGGAAGACGAGGACAGGGTGCAGCAGGTCAAGGTACTTTGTCCCACACAGAATCATTGATCCTGCATCCTAAAGCTGCCGCCAACTCCTTGTGCAGCCCTTTAGCCAGAGCTCCCTTGTGCTTACCTTTGCAATCTGTACACACCAGTTGAGTAGGTACTGAGAGCCGATGTTGTCCTTGTGCTCTCGGACATAGTCCAGGAGGCAGCCATAGGGCATCAGCTGTGTGACGAGCTGGATGGTGGAGGTCAGGCAGATGCCCAGGAGGCGGCACACATGAGGGTTGTCCACACTGGCCATCACATACGCTTCCTACAAGGCAAGGCCAACAGATGCATTACAATTGGTTCCCTGGCAGTGGCCAGTGGGAGAGGCACATGGCTCCCTTTCAGGGTAAAATGGGATGACTTTGCTTTGAGTTTCAAAGCCTGAACTCTGTACCCCAGTGTCGGGGACATTTATGTGAGTCCTTGAGATGCTCATATACTGTGGGAGGTAGGCTCTCTTTAGTGTTGCGTGTTGGAGGTCTGCTGGACAGCAAAAAACCCAAATGGAAGAATTTGCCATTAGCAAAGGCTTTGATGAAAGGGGATCTGAGTCACCCTGATATTTCAGAGTTCAGGAAATGCTAGTATCTTCCTTGAGATGACCCTCTGCCCTACATCTCAAGGCAAATGATGATGCTGTTAGGGCTTTTTGGGGTCCAAATTTGGATCTCAGCATGTCCTGGAGAATGATTTGTTCACGTTATTAGTGGCCATAGTCACTCGAGAGACCCTATTTTTGAAGGAGAGATCTGAGCCTGCAGGCAGTCTTGAGGAAGATCTCTCCTCTCAACACAGCAGACTTGATTCAGACTGAATGGTGGGAGGGCATTTGGGTCAGGAAACCTGCCCACAACACCCTTGCAAAAATCAACTTTGGAGAAGTGCTTTTCTCCGTGCAGGTTCTAGCCTCTGAGATGGAGAGTTATGCGTCTGAGACACTCATATACACGTTCACACAAGCCTACATACTTACATACTACATTCTCACACTGGAAAATGCACATATGCCCGCACACACGTGCACACATACGCTGCCGTATATAGATCTGTTTTACATTCCCTTTCCAGTGCCCGGCCAAAATTGAAACTGGAATGTATACGGAAAAATTATTAGGCCATGGGATTGCCAGAAAAGCACGAATCACATCTCTCCTCTGGGTCTGGGAAGCTGTACAATCATAACAGCACAGAAATCCTCCAGGCGGGCCTATTTTCTCAAGATGTGCCGGAGATTTGGGCACATCTTGTATTCATTTTCGAGGGGGAGAAAAAACATCTGCAAATTGGAGCAGTTTGAGAAGCTTAACGGCCATTGGCCGATGATGACTGGGACAGGAACAGAGCAGGGGGCGTGGGCGTCAGGCCACACAGAGCCTGGAGCCCTGCCAGTTGGTTCTCCTAAAATATGATAGACAAACAGAACTGGGCTGTCACTTCCTGCCCACACCCCGCACAATGGGAGTGTTGTGTAGTCGTGTGTGAACGTTAAAGTGAGCTTTGTTCTTCCCTGTTTATGTTGGAAGCCGGGATGGTGCATTGTGACCCGCAGCAAATATGCCTGGTATCCCACAACAATCTCTGAACCAGCTGGAAGCAGGCAGTACCCACAGGGGAGACCCTGATGGCTTCTGTCCCAGACTCACTGCGGGGCAGTCTGTCCCTGAGGCTTCGGTGACCCTGAAAAGTCACTATTTGTTGCTATTGCTGATAGCAGATTTGGATCCTTCCTTGTTGTCTCAGTCATCTCTGAATTATTTGTGCTGTGAATGGGGCAAAGGCTTCCAGGGGATGCTAGATTCCTTGAGTCTGGACTTCAGAATGAAGGGTAGCGAGCCAGTGAGATGGTTCAGCGGGCAATGGTGCTTGCTGTGGAGGCCTGATGACCCAAGTTTGGTTCCTGCAGCCCTGACTGTGTAGAGATGTAAGGGAAGAACCAACTCCATAAGTTGTCTTCTGGCTTTTGCACATGTGCCGTGGGACATACATCTCAGGGCATTTGCTTATCATGTGCACACGTATGAGCTCATGAGTGTGCGTGTGTGTGCTCAGGCACACACACACACACACACACACACACACACACAAGCATTTTTAAGAAAAGCGAAAGGGTAAGAACCCTTGGTGTTTAAAAATCTTTCCCAGTTAATTAAGTCACTAAAGACCACATGGCAGGGGAGCTAGACCACAGAGTGTGAGGTCACTGGGACCATTTACGAGTGCATGCCAGCATTTACAAAGCATGTTCGCTATGGACTGTTCTTGTGGCGATGCTGGTTGATGTTCTGCTTAGCGCCCTGTTGAAACTGACCCCAGGACCACAGGCCTTGCTTCCTTCAGCAGCAACCAGTCTCTCAGTGCCCTCGCCCCCACGGCTTTCCAGGAAACAGCACACAGCCCTGCACAGAAGCTGTTCTGTGTGTCTGGCAGACACAGCCACGTGACAAGCAAGCCAGAAAGCCTCAAGGTCACCACCCACTAGGTGCCATAGCCACAAGAGCTGACACACAAGGAGAAAACCAAAGGAGATAGGAATGAAGACACAAGGGCAAAGGCAGGCAGAGCATGAGCAATGGAAGGAGAAAGGGGTCAAGGAGCATTAGTCAGACAGGGCCTTCAGATGAGGGGTGCACTTGACTTTTATGCCTTTGTTTACCTCCAAGCCCTCCAAAAGCAGATCTCCTGCCTCCTTTCTGGAACATAACTATCATTGAGAATATTTCCAAACCGTAAACTCTCCTTATATTATCACCTTATAAACACTGCTCAAATCCACATTATTGGGTGTAATTTATTAGTGCATCCAAAATGAATTAAAATACTAACTAAGGAGTCAAGACTGACCAAACGATTTTCCTCTCAACAAGTACAAGTGATAGACTGTAAGCAAAAAGCCTTCACAAGCCCCTGTCTCCTGGTCCTCCTGGTTCAGTGAATAAGACTTGGCATCGATTTGTAATTTTGGAATGTAAAATGAATTTGCTTGACAGGTATATTTCCAGCATGCATGATTTCCTGTGACACTGGACGCATGCACCATCATCTCTCATAGGAACGGGCAGTGTGGGTTTCCCTAAGCTTCCTTCTCTTCTCTTCAACCTTCTGTCTCAGGAGAAGAGCAGTTTTCAATATCTTATTAAAAGCCCTGACAGTACTGAAGTAGGCTCTACCCAGTTCCTAGATGGCCTCTTTGTGTCAACCTCTTTACAGTTGGGTTCAGCCCCATCATTAGCTAAGAAGGCTAGGAGAAGTGGGGGAGAGTTCAGTAGAATTCAAAGCAAAATGCTGCTCTCGTTGAACACCCTAAAGGCTCTGGAAAGTAACTGTCAGCAGCATGGGGGATGATGTTTAAATTGCATGGGAGAGGGCTCAGGAGGTGAGGCAACAGTCCAGTAGGCGTCCAGAGGCATTGATCTCTGGCATCTTAAAAAAAAAAAAAAAACATTGTAAAGAAGAAAAGGTTCAGCAAAGGAAAGGGAATCCTCATTTCAGAAGTTGTGATGCACTTCAGACCTCAGCCATAACAATTTGAGCAGTTTCTGCCTCCTCTCCTTCATCGGTAACACTGGGCTGTGGGTGCATTTTGCAGTCACTATGGTAACACATGCTAAGAAACTAGCATCAAGACTGGCCCTGGGACGTATGTGGAGATTCTGAGCTTTCATTCTTTGGGGTGTAGGGGTAAGGAGAGGTTTGGAGAGGACTGTACTTTCTATATCAGGAAGGAGGAGAAGAGCTGAAAATGTAGTGTTTATGATACAGTGGTGAAAATTATTTAAAATCAAGCATTGTGATGGTAGGAAGCCGAACAGGTGCTTTCCGGGGTCCCAAAACTTGTGGGCAGCTCGACATTAAAAGGAACTCACATCAAGGATTTCCTTGTTGGCTTTTGGAGACGTGGCTTCTCTTAACTCCTTGATGGCCACAGGGATTTTGACCTTCTCACCTTCTGGAACCCAGAGACCCTGAGATGAAGAAGAAAACTGGTATTAACCTGAAATCATCAGGCCAGGGAACATGTTACCTTGTAAACTGGGTGAATTTTTATTAATGACTCCAATCTTTAAGAGCTCTGCATTGCAAAGTCGACAGTGCTTGGACTCATTATATCACAGAGACTCTTAGCTACCAGGCTTGAAGAATCTGAATAATTTTTTTTAGATGAAAACAAATACCACTCATATCAGAGACGCCTCTCTTGACAGCAAATGGAGACCATCACAGAAAACCACAGCTGGACACCATGCAGAGATCAGCTGGGAATATTTCAGAGGAGGGCCCAGAAAGATTGTTAAAAGCCAGACTATGAGAAAGTCTGACATGAAACAGTCTTTCCTAGAAATGGTTGAATAAATAAGACAGGAACATTGACATATCAACGGACTTGCTAAAGTGGAAGGGGGAAGATTTCAAGGGTTTCCATCCCCAGCAAAAGAACTATGGGTAACTAATAACTCCTGGAGAAGGAGATTTAGCTTCTCGGGGAGATGAGCCCCCCTTATTGATTGTTTAATACTGAGAGGTCAGCCCTGAAACCATATGCACACAAACAAAAAAATTGGACCTAGCTGGTTGTATTTATATATTTGTCCATATATATACATATATCTATATTTGCATACATACACATATATGTATAAATATACATGTATATTTTAACAATAATAATAAAAAGGGAACTATCAACTGGAGAGTAGGCGTCATGGGAGAAGGTGGAGGAAGGGTGCGTAGAGGGGCAAAAGAAGAAATGAAAGGGGAGAAAATGATGTATTTGTATTCCAATTATTTAAAACAAACATTCACATAAAAATTTCAAGGGGATTAATGGCCCACTTCTGTAATCTCAACACTTGACACCATTACAAGATGATTGAATTTAAGATCAGTCTTAGATACATAGTAAGAGCCTGTCTTAAAAAAAAAAATAAGGACTAAGCCAAACAAAAATCTATGCTTGCGCTAGTTTGAATGAGGAATGTCCTTCATGGTCTTGGATATTTGAATACGTTTTTCCCAGCTGATGCCACTGTTTGGAGAACTGTAGTTGGGGCACCCTTTCTGGAGCAAGCACATCACCTCAAGGGTGACATGAATTAAAATTCTCACACCGTTTCCGGTTTGTTCCCACTGCTTTGTCCTTGCGTTTGAAGATGAGAACAGCCATCTTCCTGCTCCTGCCACCAGGCCTAGAGCCTGCTGCCATGTTCCTCTGCCATTCTGGGCTCTAAGCCTCTGGAACTGAAAACTAACATAAAGGCTTCTATACATTGCCTTGGCCGTGGTGTTTGATCATAGATAGAGAAGCGACTAATGCAGCTAGTTGTAAAGGCAGGATGGATCATTCTGAGTTATAACTGAAAGAGACATTATGAAAAATGGACCTAGGAAAAGCAGATTGAGATGTTCATTATATGGTTTATTCTGACAGTTCAAAGAAAAAAAAAACCTGCCTCTCTTCCAGCTAGACTCCCAACCTATGCTTCAAGCTCAGGAATAGAAAATGCTTTTGATCTCACAGTGATAACAAACAATTTTTTTTTTCAATATCCTGGGTAACACTGCAGTTCCTACACCTTCAGCAATACAGACAGATGTTGATAAAAGTCACCAAAATGCTGGTGAGTCTGCGTTACCCACATAGGGCTGAAGTGTGGGGCAAACACTAGTTCCCAGGGCTAGGTGCACAACTGTCTCCAGGATGTTACCTTATACACTGTGCCAAATGCTCCGGAACCCAGAACTTTGATCTTCTTGAATTCTGTTTCCTTTAAGATCCTCAAGAGGGCTTGGTTGGGAGCTTCTCCGCTGGGTGTGAGCGGTTCCACGAGCTGCGAGGAAGGGAACAGACCCGAGCTGTTAGCTCTGCCTTCCACAATATGTGACATGTATGGTAGATGCCTTCAGGGTAAGAGCAGTCAGCTGCTGACAGCATGCAGCCATGCCTTACTACAAAGCACTCAACACACACGTTCAAAAGGAGCCATGCACACCTTTTCTTCAGAACGTAGTAATCTACAGGAGAAACCCCCGTCTTCTGATGCAGGTGTTTAACAAGGCAGCTCTATTTGAGGGCTGTGTTTTCCATATCTATGTCTATGTCAATCAGTTTTAATTAAAATATAGGAACAAGAACAATGTTATGCCATAACGGTTTGGGTCATCTCCATGTTGATGAAGGACCATGGTTTCTAATGCAGTGCCGGACACAGGCATTAGCTGAAGGATAATAATGGCTTAACACCCACTCCACAGAGTTTCAAAAAGAAACATCCACTTGTGTGGATAGTGGAATTGTCTCCCAAACTAACATCTCGATCATGGGACCATTGTAAGATTTCAACGTCTCTCTTATTTATTGCTTTCCTATATACACATAGAGGAGCTACCCTTTAGGCAGGCCTCCCCTAGGCTTTGAATTTTCAAAGACAATGACCAAGACATGCATGTTTTGTTGAATGGAGATACCTAAATAAAACAAATTGTGTATAATTGGACATTTTTTCCTGGTTCTTCCATCCTAACCAATAATTCATAGTGACAATTATATATCTGCTATGGGCAAGTGTCTTGCAAAAACTCATGTGTTTAAAATGGACCATGATGCTAATAGGAAATAGTGGGGCCTTTATGCGGTGAGGCCCACAGGGAGCCCTTTGGGTGATTGGGGTAGAGATCCAGAAGGGACGGTGGAGCACTTGTTTCCTCTGCCTGGCACGTGATGAGTTAATGTACTTCATCATGGACTCCTGCCCCAGGCCCAAAGTAACACTGCTAACCCCCAAACTCTTAAAAGTAAATTAACCTCTCTTCTTTATAAATGGACTATCATGAGTGCCTATTACAGTAATAGCAAGCTAAGCCACACCTAATCTATAAAATTTCACACTGTAAGCTCCTCGGAGAAGGTCTTTTCTCCACTGCAACAGATGAGGGTCGTAAGAATGTCACTGACTCACAGGCAGCAGACCTCACCTCTCTCTCCTGAAGTAGGCGGCGTAGGGTACGTTTTCGGACAATGTGGCGTCGTCTCATGAATAGGCCAATCCCAAGGGCCACCACAACTATGAAGAGAAGACCACCCACAATCCCAATGGCAATGGATGGGATCTTGGGCCTGGAATGAAATTGAGAGAAAGAGAAGGTAACAGTGGCATTTCATACATATCCTGTACCTTTTGATACATAAATAAAATTTAAAATCATCTCAGAAACTGGGATACTGTGTGAATTCTGGAAGGAAAGACTCGGGGCTAAGTTTTAAGATAAGGTTTCCAACATTCTTTGCTTCTTTGCCCCAAGTCAGCTCCCTTATTTATTTATTTATTTATTTATTTATTTTCTTTTCTTTTTTTTATTGAGAAAAAAATTTCTGCCTCCTCCCAGCCTCCCAATCCTCCCCCCCTCCCCCCACTCCTCTCCCCGTCCCCCCGTCCCCCCACTCCTCTCCCCTTCCCCCCACTCCTCTCCCCCTCCCTCTCAAGTCTGAAGAGCAGTCAGGGTTCCCTGCCCTGTGGAAAGTCCAAAGTCCTCCCCCCTCCGTCCTGGTCTAGGAAGGTGAACATCCAAACTGGCTAGGCTCCCACAAAGCCAGAACATGTAGTAGGATCAAAACCCAGTGCCATTGTCCTTGGCTTCTCAGCAGCCCTCATTGTCCGCCATATTCAGAGAGTCCGGTTTTATCCCCTGCTTTTTCAGTCACAGTCCAGCTGGCCTTGGTGAGCTCCCAATAGATCAGCCCCACTGTCTCCGTCGGTGGGTGCACCCCTCTTGGTCCTGACTTCCTTGCTCATCTTCTCCCTCCTTCTGTTCCTCATTGGGACTTTGGGAGCTCAGTCCAGTGTTCCAGTGTGGGTCTCTGTCTCTATCTCCATCCATCGCCAGATGAAGGTTCCGTCCAGATGGGATTCCTCAGCCCTCCCTTTTTTTCATTAAAAAAAAAATTGGTCTCCATAGGGCCTGGCATTGGTGGTGAATGTCTTTAAAACCAGTACTCGAGGAAGAGGCAGGCAGATGTCTGTGAGTTCAAGGCTAGCCTGGTCTACATAGTGAATTTCAGGACAGCCAGGGTTACCCACATAGTGAGACCCTTTCTCAAAAAAAAAAAAAAAAAACACTAAGCAAAAATTGAGGTCTCATCTGAATGTCTGTCATTATGATAACTATTTTTTATAATCATTGATGGAGAAAATAAATAATATAGAATTCAAAAAATAATCCAGATGTCAACACCACTTTTTAGTTTATTTTAACTTTTTGATAATTTTATATATGAGTACTGTATTTCCATCATCACTGTTCCTCCTATATCCAACTCCCATGCCCCTCTGTTCCCTCTCAAATTTATTATCTCTTCTTCTTTATTTGTTCACACATGCACAATCACCCCTACTCCCCACGCATATAAAATCAACCCAGCTGATCCATTTTATGTTGTTCATATTCTCGTATGTGTATGTGTTTAGGAATAAGCACAGAAACTGGATAACCTATCAGGGGCTTGGCTCTGGAGAAAACGGCTCCTCCTCTCTTAGCAGCCACTAGTTGCCTGTAGCTTTTATCTAGGGGTTGGGCTTTATGAGTTTCCACATGCATGTTGGCATGCCAACAAGTACTGTCATTGTGCAGATCTTGTTTAGACAACTATAGCTTTGAGAATTCACGAGTGCAGAGCTTTCTTTCATAGATATATAGAAGACCATCTCACAGCAGATAACCTGGTCTTCTAATTCTTACCATCTTGCTCCCCCGTCTTTCATGATGTTCCTTGGACCTGAGCTGTACGGTTGTGTTGTATAAGTAAATAATGCTTTTTTATATGAATTTACATCTTGTCCTTTCTAAGAGAACATATGTACAACTGAAAAAAAAATAGATATTTTCCCACGGCCATGTTGGGAGTTCTTCCAGTCCCATTGAGCTCTCATCATGTGAATGAACTCAATGGAAGTAAACACTGATATGATTTAGACATAAAAAGCATCATTGTTGCTATAAGTGTTGCCCCAATATACCCCCAAACTCAAGAATACATTCTCTTCTCTGTCTCATCAAGATCAAGTATAATTTCAGAAAGATGAAAAATCAGAAGTCATTTTTCAATCTCACTAATGACTATCTGAATTCATATTACTAACTCTGAATTTGGGTTCTTTAAGGATTATTTTTTTATTTCTTTTATGGTGGTGGCAGACTGAAAGTTTATTATCTTGAAGAATCAACCTCCATTTGAGTTCCTGATAAATTTATTCTTATTTTCAGGTAGACATGTTAATGAATAGCAAAGATTTGTTATCATTGTTATTTACATATAGATAAGGTACCAAAGTTCTTGCAGACCTTCCCTAATTGAACCAACTGTACTTCCTGAGATGGAGTACATTTCCTTCTCAGGGCATACAAGTCATCTCTGGAGCTATAGACCAAACCCCTGGCTAATAAAACTAATGAGTTTTCACCAATAAAAAAGAACATTGGGATATACCAGGAGAATTTGTTTCAGAGCATGTATTAAATGAGAAGCCACACTAACAAAGGGAGGTCAAGAGTTTGGAAGAGAAAACAGTTAAAAAAGAAATGCTGACAAAGAATGGTCATTGACTTTCAAGGCAGGGATTGTATGGAAAACAATATCAGAGTGTCATGGAGGCTGCCTGGAAGAGAGGGGGAGCTCTGTTGGGGCTTCATCTTGGAAGCTCTGAGAGGAAATGGCATTTGGAAGGGTCTCATGACTGAGACAGGCTTTATTTTATTTTACTCTTTCAATTGATGGCAGAAGGTACCAACCACCACAGTTAAGGAAGAGACAGTAAGGGAAGGGATATTTGTAGATATGTCCAGAACTGAGAGAGAAGCCTGAGCACCAAGCAGGTATTCTGTAGACAATCTCAGTTCTCCACCAGATGCTGTTGGCTGGTGATATACTTCTGCATGATGGCTCTGAGAAGAAATTCACAATTTCACTTCTCTCAGGGCAGCATCTCTGTAAATAGTGGAAAGTGATTAGAAAAAATGTTGAAGAAAACTCACTGTCTTTTCTGGAAAATATGTTTCAAGAAAGAAGAGAAAACGTCACTGAGGTGGACCTTGGTCGTTTGACAAGAAAGCTATTCACGCCATGTTTGTGACATGACCTCCCGGGCTACTTAGAAGAAAAGAGGAGGCCTTTAGAAGAGACAAGACTTAAGTGGAGTTGCTGTGCCTGCAAAGCTAGAAACAGATACGTAGAGGGGGCTGGTCCACACTGTTGACTTCTTATGGGGCTGGCTCTAGCGTAGTTCATCATGTATGCCCTCCACTGACCAACAACATGGACACAGGGTGAGAGGGAAGAACTGGAGACCCGTGGTTGGCCCAGAGGACTTGGAAGAAACTGAAAGGCTTGAAGGAACTCAGAAATGACATCTGGTCATAGATCCAAAGTCACAGTACATACCTTGGTAGTGGGCATCCTTGGAGACCTGGCCCAGTACATCTGCAGGAATAAAAGACACACATCTTTTTCATTCTGATTTACTGGAATTTATTTGATAGTTTTCCACATTAAGTCATAAAGCAATTGTGACAAATTACTCTTTTATAGCTATAATCACAGTGATCTCAAAGTTGGATAGTTACTAACATATTTTATACATTACTTCAATTATATAAAATAATTAATACATGTGTTTATTTATGCAGAAAACATCTTTGAGTGGCAGGATTGTTATCGCCTTCATCTAGGTTATTACCCAAATGCAACACAGTATATTGTTGCCACACAGCTTGCACTAAATGTCTGGAGAGACAGGGGAGCAGTATGACAAAGACCATATTTGGAGAACATACTCTAAATACTCTGTCTCTATTACTCGGAACAAGAATTGGTTCTCATTTCTACCTTCTGCTTTTCTTGGCTTTTGAGAGTTTGACTCTCTGACTTCTCCTTGCTGTCAGACGAAGAAGCTGCGTGCAATGCCTTTGGCCTTTCGTGCATAAACTAAACTTGCTGGCAATGCATCTCTAAGCAGTGGGATCCACCAGGAGGCCCAGCTGTTTCCTTCTAGACTCACAAAAGATAGTCAAAGAAAGAGAGGAAGCGTTCTCTAGTGTCAGTTAGACTCTCCTTCAAGTACGACGTCTGGTGGTCTGTTTATTGTTGAATGTTCAACACCAGGAGTCCATGCCTGCTGAGGGGATTGACAGTTTGGACAAGCAGCTTAATTTCATACCGCCCTTGAAAGCTACCCTGGACAATTGCCATCGATTGTCAACAGGAGACGGAGATCGGTGAGCTCAGAGGGAAAGATGAACGAGTTTCCATGTAACAGGATGACCAGTGGGAAAGGTGTCAGCACAGAGGCTTCAGAGGGAAGCATGGGGCATCATGAGATTAAGGGACCACTCGGGAAGCTGACGATGCACTCTCCTGTCTTTTGACTCTTGCTGGGAGGACAAAGAGGTCGCATCATCTACTTCTGTCATATTCTGCCTCCCACACAATTCCTTCTTACATTGCAAGAAATTTATAATTACAATGGTAACAAAGACATTGGGACGTACAACCAAAATGAGCAAATTCTTCGGGAACGTTGTTGAATTTATCAGGATAAAAATTTCAAGACAATATCTTCTTTTTGTTTAATATAAAAACAAGGTTCAACTTAAAGATGCATGTGCCTCAAGCTCAAGTGTCCCTGCAAATGCCGAAGTGGTCACAGTCGTGGCTTTTGGAGTCGCGTGGGTTCCTTATGTGCACTCCAGCTTCTAACATGACTGGCTTATAAACTGTATTGCTGAGTCCCATAAAATATTACCTTCCCCATAAAACCAGGAAAAGCGCCACCATTACCCTATCTCTGAAAATTAGAGTGGCGGTGTGTTTGATAAGATATACATTACAAATATGTAACTAGAGAAAACATATCCTCATTTTCACTTGTCCCCATCAACCCTTCATGTATTTTAAAAAGTAAATCCATTTCAATAAAACAACTCTGCGCAATTAGTTACTGTGAGATAAAACACAGGTAGCAATAAAAAGACTACTTAAAAGTGCATGTTCTTCATCAGACTTATAGAATTAGGAAAACACAGAAAAAAATCAGACCAACTGATACATACAAAATTTTAATCTACATTATGAAAAAAAATCTATCTTTCTGTATTTGGAAACTCTTATTCAAGGTAAGAATGCCTACTGGCAATTAATTCCTCCTGCTTGGTGACTTTTGAGGTCCCCTTAAGGCCAATAGTACACAGTCACAGACAGAAACATACACATATACTTATTTCCAAAGCAGGGAAAAGGAGAGACGTTCATTTATTGTGTACAGCTCGCACAGTAATTTCGAGAGAACCTGCTCCAAAACCGCTAATGCAAAAAATGGGCTAAGTTGAAAAGGAGCAAAGCATTATTCTTACAGGCTTTGCAGAGGTTTTGAACTGGACAATGTGATCAGTGTGGTGATATAAACAAAGGAAAAATTGGACGATGTTAACTTACTACCGCAGAAATGGTAAATTCCAAAACCCACACCTCATTTTTAGAAATATTATTTTGAAAGTGCAGAGGACTCTCCTTGGCAAGATAACTGGAATCTCAGACCAAGAACCAAGGCATTGCTAATGCTGACACACTGCTGTCCTACCCATCACCACCAGATGTCAAATATTGACTTAACTATTATTGTTTCTGATATTATTCTGGAAATTCCAGCCCCTTTATACAATCTGAGACTTTTGGAAAAGAAATTAAAACAAAATATTGAAAGGTAGTATGATTGTTTTCCTAGAAAACTTATTGTTATAACAGTCACAGTTACAAGAATTGCCACTGTCACCACCACCACCAGCCGTGTCCTCAACGGCACCACCACCACTATCCATGTAATTAGCATCACCACCATCACCATCCACATCACCACCACCACCATCATCCACATCACCACCATCATCCACATCACCACCATCATCCACATCAACACCATCATCCACATCACCACCATCACCATCCACATCACCACCACCATCACCATCCACATCACCACCATCGCTATCCACATCACCACCATCATCCACATCACCACCATCACCATCCACATCACCACCATCATCCACATCACCACCATCATCCACATCACCACCATCATCCACATCACCACCATCACTATCCACATCACCACCATCGCTATCCACATCACCACCATCGCTATCCACATCACCACCATCATCCACATAACCACCATCACTATCCACATCACCACCATCACCATCCACATCACCACCACCACCACCATCCACATCTCCACCACCACCATCCACATCACCACCATCATCCACATCACCACCATCATCCACATCACCACCATCATCCACATCACCACCATCATCCACATCACCACCATCACCATCCACATCACCACCAACACCACCATCCACATCTCCACCACCACCATCCACATCACCACCATCATCCACATCACCACCATCATCCACATCACCACCATCATCCACATCACCACCATCATCCACATCACCACCATCATCCACATCACCACCATCATCCACATCACCACCATCATCCACATCACCACCACCATCCACATCACTACCACCATCCACATCACCACCATCACCATCCACATCACCACCATCATCCACATCTCCACCACCACTATCCACATCACCACCATCATCCACATCTCCACCACCATCATCCACATAACCACCATCACCATCCACATCACCACCCCCACCATCATCCACATCACCACCCCCACCATCATCCACACCACCACTACCACCATCTACATCACCACCATCCACATCACTACCACTACCACTATTCTTACCACCAGCATCAGTCCCTACCACCACCACCACCACCACCACCACCACCACCACCACCACCACTATTGTTGCCACCGCTCTTACCATTAACATTGCTTGTTAGTGCTCACCTTGTCTTAGTCATTATTTTTAGTACATTATAGATACTAACTCATCATCACAAAATCCTGTAATTTATGTTGAACTAGTTATCACTGGATTTTACAGAAGAATGCATTTAGATACACAGCACTGTAAAGCCAGGTTGCTGGTACTGGAGAGAACCAGAGAAAGAGTGAGTGACAGTTCTGAGTAAGAGGGAAGACTTTAGAAATATAATGACATGGGTAATATATATATATATATATATATATATAAATGAAAACTCCGACACTGTTCTGGTTACTGAGTGTGATCTGATTCAATTGTTAATTTATAGTGTTCCAGTAAATGAAATGTATAGAGTCAGAACGCTTCTGCTAATTCTTCTCAAGCTAGCTTTAATTCAAGCCACTGAAGTCAGCTTAACAATCAAGCAGATTTTTAAAAAGTGCTTTGGAACAATTCAGGAAGTGTTACTGCGTATATGTGTGTGTGTTCATGTGCGCCCACGTGTGTGTGTGTGTGTCTTCATGTGCGCTCATGTGTGCGTGCACTGTGTGAAGTCTAGAAGTCAACACCAAATGTCATTTTTGAAAAACAACTACTCCTTTTTTTTTTTGAGTCAGGATCTCTCAGTAAACTCTAGTTCACCAAGAATTTGGCTAGAATAAATGTCTAGAAAGCCTTCCCATCTCTGCCTTTCTAGTGCTGAGGTTACAGGTGTATACAGTCTTCACTCCTGGTATTTTCTACATGGTGTTGACGAACGAACTAGGTCCTTAAGTCACTGAATGAGCCACCTCCCCAGGCCCTCCCCCACAGTCCATACTATCCCCAACCCTAATTATACAGAGGGGAAAGAGGTTGTCAGCTGTGCCCATCACTCTTTTCTATTGGCAACGCGGTGCCAAGGAACCAAGACTACCCGAGACAAATATCCTGAAAGACAGAACAATATTTATCAATCTGAGATCTGCCCACCAGCCTATCCCTTCTGTCACCACAAGCGCACAGTTGAAACATATTAGGGTCCTGGCTAAAATACAAGCCTATATAAACCACTGCCTAAAATTTGGTAGGCATTTCCAGTATATAAATTCACAAGCTTTTGTAGGTGACTGTACTGCTCTTACCCATAGGTACAGTTTGGATGGCAGAGGTGGCAGACATTGTTGGCGTCTGCATACTTCCAGACCAGCGTGCTGTTCTCCCCCATGACCCCAGCTGGGCAGGTCTTGACACAGTGTGGGCCGTCAATGTAGTGGGCACACTTGATGCAGTTGTCTGGCCCCTGAAGCAAGATACAGAGAACGTTACGAATCTTTTTAGTTCTTTTTCAAAAATAGAAATAACTTCCTATTTATAATATTTACTGTGAGAAAACAAAAGCCAATAATATGGATGTTCTTTATTATTGTATATGTGTGTAAATGTCTGTGCACCATTTGTACGCCTGGAGCTCATAGAAGCCAGAAGCGGGCATCAGATCCCCTGAAACTGGAGTTGCAGGTGACTGTGGGCTGGCACGTTGGTGCTGAGAATCAAGCCTGGGTTCTCAAGAGGAGCAGCCAGTGTTCTTAACCACTGAGGCATCTCTCCAGCCCCAGTGCAGAAGTTCTTAAAATATACGACAAGTGGTGTGGTTGCTCTTGCCTGCTGTGCCCGCAATAAGATACGTTTTCCTGACTGCACTGAAAACAATCCAATTTCTTTTAATATGTTTTATACTAATGATTAGCTAATAAAGAAAGTGTGTGGATGCGTTGTGGAGATGAGGGCACTTCCTGTGAGAGCTAGTGCTTGCCTTCCACTGTGTGAGTCTCAGGGATGGAACTAAAGCATTCAGACCCGACAGCAAGCTTCTTTATCATCTAACTCAGATCAGTTATACAGAGCAATTCGATTTGTGGGCTATAATCCGTTAAGAAAGGACAGCTGTTATCATGTTTACCATTCTCAGTCCCTCTAGTAAAGCCACGTTGTATAAAGTACATAAAGGTTTTCATAGAAAAAGCAAATGAATTTATCACACCCAAGCGTAAATTAAACTTCGTTCTTCACCATATTTTCTTAACGGTACTTTAAGATATCGTGGGCATAGTACTTGTCAGAGTCATTTCGATTGGTCTACACGTGTTGTATATCCTTATCTTTCCTGCATATCCCATCTGAAGTTAAAAGGCAATGCTGAGGGAGGCCAGACTTCGGCTTGCTGAGGCGCATGAAGGGAATCCCTCTTTTGTATTTTTCTGTGGGAAAGCAGGCGGCACATGGCGGTGCTGGCTGCGGAGTGGGCTGTGAATGTGCAGTGCTAGAGTCTGTCTGTAAAACCTGGAATGTCCTTGTAAAAGTCCCAGAAACAAAAGCAGTGGGACTGCCCAGGCTGTGTGCTTCACACTTCATGAGAGGACTGGTAGGCAAGGGTTTTTCCCCGTGGCTCCAGTAACCAACCGTTCAGCTCTGTCTGCACAGAGGCGGAACACACTCGAAGCCAGAGCAGCTGGAAGACTAAAGCAATAGCACCAATTATTTCTCTGCAGCCATGAGGATTCCATCCAATGCCCTGCAAGCCTGCACACCCAGGGCTTATTTGGTAACCAGTCATGCTGACAGTCTCGATTTCCTAACTCAGTTCTGTTACACTCCGCCTGACTGATGGACAACCGCTGAAATAGGTTTCAATGAGGACACTTAAGAGTTTGCTGCTGGAACTCACAGGGAAACAGAGCCCGGACTAGGCTTAGTATCAGGTAGGAGCAGCATATTTGAGTCAGAGCAACCCGGATTCCCACAGACATCCCTTAGAAGTTTGCTACTGTGTGTGTAAAAAAAGCAAATGACTGAAGAAAAATTGCTGGGATTTCTTTAAAAAAAAAAATAGTGTAACTTGAACTTGTTAAACAATGCTTTGGTGGCGTTTGAGTAAAATGAGGAGATGTTGGCAGATGGCCAAAGCTGTGGGAGCTGCCTGGCAGTGTCTCAAGCCAGTATAGCCTGTCCTGTGATACAGTGGGGGAATCGCCATGGTGAAATGAGTGTGAGATGCTGGGCAGGCAGGGGTGAGGCGCTTCTACCCTGAATAGGCACTTTAAGGATCAGATCCTGAGGCTCTCTTCCCTGGAAAGGGCCTGCACAGCTATCTTTCCTACTTGGGGGTGGCTTGGATCATTGCTGTTCTTGCTGGGGCTCTTGTGAAGGCTTTCCCACAAAGCAGGGTAGAGCGTGGAGTAGGACTCCTTACCCGGCCTGTACAGGTGATGTTCATGTCCTGGGGCAGACATTCTGGGTGGCACTGGATGCACTCAGATTTCTCCACAAACTCCCTCGGCTCCCTGGGGGAAGAACACAGTGAACTGAGCATGCCATACCCCGAGTGGCGGTAACTATTTCAAGTAACGCAAATGACCTAGCCCAGAAACTCAGAAGCATCTTAAGGGCAAAGAAAGGGTCAGAATTATGGGACTGACCTGAAATATAATACGCTGAGCTCCCTAATAGAGCCTTAGGTCACCTTGCACACAGTTTCATTTATAACCAGAGTACTTCTCTGACCTTTTCCTACAGGTAGTTTCTGAATGTCAGGTAAGAAAGCCAAATATGAAAAACATCTTTGCAAACCATCCCTTCCTTCTAAAACCCACATGGACATTTAAGCTGGAAAGAAATGGTTTCTAAGACTAAGAAAGGAATAGGAAAGGAACGTTCAAACTTGTTCACTTCGGGAGTCTCTGGAAAACTCCTTCCTGTGTGCTGTTTCCTCTGGTATTGCAGCAATAGATATACTAAGCCAATAATAGACTCCTCTCAGGCGGCCTTTCCTTTGCCTACTTTTAGTAGGTCAGGCTGAGCTGGCAGCATCTAGAAAGAGGCAGCAGGGACAGGAAGAGAGATGGAAGAGGCTATGGAACAGCAGTAACAGTGAGCCATCGTCAGGCTGAGCTGCAGAAGTAGTGCCTGGCCAGTTGTTTGGTGGTTGAAGAAGAGACCAGCCAGCTTGAGAGGGGCAAAGCAGGCATGAAGGAGAGGGCAGACAGAGAGAGGATGGAGAGCTTAGGCCAAAGAATGGATAGAGCAGGAAAAAACAAACTTCAGGTTCTGGTGGCTGAGGGAGTTCCAGAGTACTTTCTGGATTTTAGAGCCAAGGGTCTCAGCCGTCCCGGGCTCAAGAATTATAACAGCAATCACTGTCAAGAATGGAGGGGCCCATCACTCAGCCCCTTCTTGAAGCTGCACCCACTTCTCTGACAGGCTTGGGAATCCTAATGTAACGGGCCTCTACACATGTCATAACACCTAAGGGTCCCACACTGCAGGCAACCATAAGAACTTTAAGATTTGTAGAGCTAAGGGTCCCAAAAATCAAGGAATGGACTAGGGTTGTAACAGTAGAGGGTGCCATGCGCACCTGTCCCTGCCTGCCTGTTGTCAAACTGCAAAGCATACAGAAGAGGCCAATGGCCAGTGCTGGACGGCTTTTCCCCAGCAGAACATAGAGACCACAGCCAACTGGCTGGCAGTGAATAAAACCCTCATTGGTGATTTTCTGAGCTTTGTCTCCATGTCACCTCCTGCAGGATTCTGGCTTGAATGGTGATGAGGTGCTGCAGGCCATCGGCATCTCACACTAAGAGCCCTGGGCCTCTGGGTGCAGTGAAGAGATTTGAAAGTTGAAGATATGAACGTCTATTTAGCACAGGAAGGGCTCTGGTGCTGCTCACGGTGTGACGTCAAACAGCAGTTGGAGCAGTAGCCCTAGGCCCACGGAGATATTCTTACAAAATCAAAATTGCCTTTCCATCCAGCTCTGGAATATTTCTGGATACAAACTGTGGTCCACACCCTGTTAGCGAAACAGGATGGAAGATTTCCCAGCACTGCCTGTAACTCACATGTCTCTCCTCCACCGTAGCTTCCTCTCATCCCTTAAATAACAGCAACAACAACAACAAAATGCCCCTTTCTGCCTTTCAATTTAATTTTCTAAGTAATTTCTTTAAATCATTACCAATATTCACTTAAAACTTTATGCCAACATTGACATACTTTGTACTATCAATTGATTACTTTTTTTTTAAATTTTTTTGAGACGCAGTTTCTCTGTAGCTTTTGGTTCCTGTATTGGAACTAGCTCTTCTAGACCAGGCTGGCCTCGAACTCACAGAGATCCGCCTGCCTGTGCCTCCCGAGTGCTGGGATTAAAGGCGTGCACCACCACCGCCCAGCAATTGGTTACTTTTAAACTAACAAAATATAGGGTTTCCATTTTTCTTTCTGGTTTTATTAAAATAATTTGCACACTCAATAATCGGTGTGTGTGAGGGGCACATAAAACTAAAATTAATTAGGAAATGCTCTGTGTTGACATATTTTAATACAATGGGAACAGTGGACAGGAAAGAAAAGTCCAAACGCCCACACTTTCTTAAATATGTTAGCTACTGTGCCTGTTCTATCTTGAGGAATTTCTGTCAAATGAAAATTTAAAGTATTTTCAGGAAGAGAGACAGGACAGGTTATCAGGTGCATTGAGGAACAATGCTTTCTAATGTGATGAACACTTTGCCAAAAAAATGACCATCAAATAAACAAAGGATAATATCAAGAACAAGAGAGAAAGAGAAAAAATAACGTGAATAACTGCGAGGCTGTAGAAAGAGCACGGGGCTCATCTCTTGGCTAGACAGCGTCTCACCCCTCCAGGACGTTGCACTTCTCCACGCACTCCCTGCCCCTGCTGACGTTCTGGCAGGAGACACAATCCCTGGGCGAAGGGCCCCAGCAGCCTTCCGAGGAGCACAGAGGATTACAGACGTGGCCTGTGGCCTCTGAGAAAACACAGTGAGTCACAGGGTCAGTCACAGCGCAGTAACGGGAGGGATCAGAAGAGGAGACACCCTTCCGAGGGACCATGGGCTCTTTGCAGGCACGCGGGGGTTCTGAGGGGAGTAGGGGACCATGGCCTTTGTTCTCTGTGATATTCAGGGCAGCTTGAACCTGACTCTGCAGAGGCTTTGATGATGGATGTCACAGCTGACAGAACCATGGCAGGGAAGGTGGTAGCTGCTTGCTGTGTGCTGGGTACCATGCCAAGAGAGTCACATACAGGCTCTCATGTCACTGAGGAATGCCATGGTGCCGGAATCATCACCATGTGAGAAAGAGGAAGCCAAAGCCAAGGTGATTAAAGCATAAAAAACAGGGCAAGTTCTCAAAGCCCAACGGGGCCAAAGCATCGCTGATACTCAGTATTGCCTCTGTCAGTGTTTAGAGTCTTGCCACAAGTCAGTGGCATTTGCACGTTTCAAAAGCTAATTTAATTTAATGTTTTGAAACCAGAGTCAGGAATGTAACTGTGAGATGTCATACATTCTTTTACGCACATGTGTAGTAGGCACACGTGTGCACTTGATGTAGCTCTAGCGACTAAAGACTGATGTGAGAATAGCGCTATATTTAGTCAAAATGTAATATAATGACTCCCCAGAAAGAGCTGGCTGTCACAGTGCCCGGCCCCTGCACTTCACCCAGGCAGACGGAGGGGGCGGAGCCGGGTGGGCGAGTTCTCGATGTACTTCCGGTTTTGACCGGCAGCGCTCTTGCCCCGCCCTTGGAGGACCCCGTCTCTGTAGATATATATATATGTATTGTTCCTGGTTTTGTACGGACCATGCCCTCTGTCAGGTCGTCCCCATAAAAGCAGCCCCCAGGGGGAAAAAAAAAGTAATATAATGAAGATCACATTTCATCCTTTAAATTCCAGGGAGCCTAGACCGCAGCACATATGTCGCTCACTGATGTGACCACATATCTAACAAGAAGCAACTGAAGGGAGGAAGGCTTTACTTTGGCTAGCAGTTTAAGAAGGGACACTGTCCATCAGAGTGGCAGAAGCACCAGGTCAAGGGTTCAAACACCTGAGCTCCTGGAAACACACTCAAGCCACATCATCTCCCCCGCCTTCCACACCTGCTCTCAGCCCACATAGGATTATGAACATTGTACAATACCAAATGTGTTTATTCCATCTTCTTAAGACTTTTAAAAAACTCCATTACCTTTTTTATTTTGTGTAGAGGATGAACATGTGCACGCCACTGTGGTGTGTGTGTGTGTGTGTGTGTGTAATATCAATTTGTGGGAGCTGGCTCTCTCCGTGCTCCATATGAGTCCTGGGAATAGAACTCAGGTCTCCAGGCTTGGCAGCAACGCTCTTTTCTGCCGAGCCATCTCACTTGCCCTCGGCAAGTCTTTAACAGTATCAATAGTGTTCAGAAACCTCAAGTCTATTTTTTTCTTGGGACTCAAGGCAATCAGAAAGCAATTTACAAACTTTCCACATACAATGGCACATAATAATCATTCCCATTTCACAGAGGTGGAATGGGGCACAGGAAAGAAAGAGTGAACCAAAGCGAGACGGAAAACCAGCAGAACTACTCAAGTTCTTGAAAGCCGGAGTAATTTCATGAGGATTTCCAGATGCTGGAAATAAGGGGCTCTCAAGAACTAAGGTAGCTCTGTCCTTCCAGGTCTGCCCCTTGCAGTGTGCAGAAGCTTCCCCCATTGACCTGATGTATCCCAAGCCTGCAGCTTCTTCTCTTTTTGTTTTCGGTAGCAGACATCCCATCATACTGACGTCTCTAAAATCCTGGGGTGTCCATTGAAACTTAAGCTTCATCTTTATGGGATAGCACAGTGGCCTCTCCAGGGCTCCTTTTAGGGACTTCAGCCCTGCCCATGTACTGGCCGGCTTGGCTGGTTCTCTGTAACCTTGGCACAAGCTTCCATGCCCCCATCAACCTTATATCTTTCATGTGTACAAAACCAGTATCACGTGGAAGCTGCTGCCCATTTTAGGGGCCAACTAAAGATGCAGCCTGGCCACCAGACGCAGGCCATCTCTTCAGCTGAATTCTCAGTTTGGGTTCTCTTCTTTCAAATGAATGTACATCTCCAGATGGAGCCTTTGGCGGTAGGGGCTTAGCCCTTAGGGCCCCTGTTCCTATTGTCCCAGTGTAGAGTAGAAGGCTTCTCTTTAAGTGTTCCTTTAAAGTGTCTCTTTGCAGTTGTGATTGTATTCTCAGCATCTGACTTATTCGTTACTTTAACTTCCCCCCATCCCCCACAAAAGTGCACATTTTCCATATCCCTGTGTTCACTCTTTGCTCCAGCACACTGTTGACCCAGCGAAGAGCAGTGAGCAGGAGACGACGGCCCCTTCAGCATCCCTTCTGAAAAGAAATTACCTCCAGGAGCTATGCACACAGGTGACATGGGACCAGCTACTTACTGCAGTCATTCTGGGCTCTGTTGGTCATGATTTTGGTTTTCTGATTGGAAGTCCCAAAGAATTTTTTCCAGTTTATTGTATTTGCGTAGCACAAGTTTCGATTTCCAGAAATGACCACGTCTCCATCACTTATTTCCTTGAGGGAACGCAATCCCAATGATGTGATGTTCAGGCCAACAACCGCAAGAGAAAACTGACCGCTGAATGGGGGAGAAGGAAAATTGCACTGTATGTGACAGTGAGAACAACACGCCACCCTCCGATTTTGTTTTTCTGAGCCACTTAGGTTTTCTGAAAACCGTGTTCCTATTAATAATCATTCTGTAAAAAATATGAATCATGGCTTTTGGAAAACGAGATTGTTTTTTTTTAAGTTTCTTCAAGGAAAGGATGGTTTCTCATCCATTTGTTATCTTTAACCTTGGGTAAAGTGGAGGCCTGGCCAATGGCCTGACGCCATTTCATTTGCTGTATTTATAGCTTTCCTAGAAGTCAAAAACACCAATGTGTACTTGAAGTCAATTTGTCTGTTTGTCCATCTACCCATCTATTCATCTATCCAGGTTCATCCGGTCATGTTTATTGAGTAAATATCTGTAGTGCCCCTTGACAAACACTGTATAGGTTAAATGTATGTCTCTTTTACTTAGAAAACCTGTCTAAAGGTGATGCCCTCATACAGGCGGAGCTTTTCATTTCTTTATTTGCTTTTACATCTCTACCACACTTTCCCCTCCTCCCAGCCTCTCTCCCTTCCACTCCTCCTCCCTTTCTTTTCAGAAAAGGATAGGTCTTCCATGGATATCAGTCAGCCATTGTATATCAAGTTACATTGAGATTAGGCACCTCCTCTCATCTTAAGACTGGATGAAGCAATTCAATAGGAGAAAAGGGTCCCCAAAACAGACAACAGAGTCAGAGACAGTCCCTGCTCCTACTGTTAGGAGTCCTACAAGACGACCAAGCTACACAACTGTAACATAAATGCAGAGTGCCTAGATCTGTTCCATGTAGATTCCCTGGTTGTCGGTTCCGTCTCTGTGAGACCCTATGGGCCCTGGGTTAGTTGATCCAGGTACTTTTTGAGTGCAGAGAAATGAACACAGCTTTAGAGAGAACGATTAGTCAAGAAGGGGAACTTAAGTAGCTCCATGGAGGAGCGCCATAGAAGGACAACTTTCTCCAAGCCACGATGTCTCATATCTGAGACGTGGAGAGCAGAGCCAAGTAGGATTCTACAAGGTACGCCCCCACTGGATGACTAGACTGAAGTTAGCCAGACAAAAGGGAAAGGAATGCCACACCACGTGGCAAAAGAGGATGCAGGCTGTCTGCAGTCGGGGAGGGCTGGAAGACAGGCCTGGGGATGGTGGTTAAAGTCAGAGCCCAGATCTATGGCCCTGATGGAGGAATTTGGGTTGTCACAGGCCGCTGGTGGCCAAGCACATAGAAGCAGTGAGTATTTGTAGTAAGCTTCTCTGACACCAGCATCAGGAATGGGTTGGTTGCGACAGAAGGAAAGGAAGAGAATGAAAGTTAAGAGGTTACATGTCAGAGGAATAAAGCATTATTTGACAGCCCCCCTTTCTGTTCGTGGTTCTCTATTCACTGCCTGTTTCCAGAGAAGCGAGGGGTCCTGGGTAGGAGACCCACACTGGGAATTCCACTGGGAATTTTCCTCAGAGAAGCCAAGGAGTCAGGATCTGCCTGGGGTCTTTCTGGCAGGTCAAGCTCCAGCACTGGGTCATAGAGCTCATCCCCAGGCTGGCCTCAGTGAAGAAACGCTCCTGAGAGCCCCAGAAGGCAGGAAGCAGATGTAGCTGTGTGCTTATTATCACAAGCATTTGACTAACGGAGCTGGTGGAAAGCAATGCATTTTCTGTGTGTATCACGCTATTTTATGATGTGATGTTAGAGGAGGCAAATTTCAGAAAAGGTTCTCCTAATGTTCCCAAGGAAGTTTGAGCTGCAGATGTCCAAACTTCTCTTCCTCACCACCAATTTTAGTATTTCTCTCATCTATTAAGGGTCTCCTTCCCTTCTTCTCTCCCTCTCTCCCTCTTTTCCTCCCTCCTTCCCTCCCTTCCTCCCTCCCTCCTTCCCTCCCTCCCTCCCTCCCTCCCTCCCTCCCTCCCTCCCTATCTCCCTGTCTCTGTCTCTCTCTCTCTCTGTCTCTCTCTCTCTCTCTCTCTCTCTCTCTCTCTCTCTCTCTGTATCCTTTTCTCTCTGTGCACACATTTCATTGTTGTGTCTGGAAGAGAGGACATTATAGATTCCCAAACCATTTAGTGTTAAAACCTCACTTGGGTCCTCTTGTGCAATATGTTAAATACCTTCAACTTCAGCACTATCAAAGATCAGCCAAACACAAATAAGGACATTCTGTAAAACACCTACTCATATTTTCCCAGAGTGTCAAGACAATAAAAACAGTCAAAGCCATTGGAGCTATGGACATTTGGGGGGGGGGGACTAAGAAGACATTAGAAGTCCATGCAACGTGGGATTCTTGAGAGGACAGAGAAAGGACACATGCTTTCATGGAAAATCTGGTGAACTCAATAAAGTACACGGTCGAGCGCACAGCGCTGTGCAGAGCCACACATCGGCTCATGTAAGTTGCTCACATTAGGGGAAGCTGAGTGGAAGTTCACCTTTGTCCTGTTTCTGTACCTCCCCTTTAAGGCCAATTTCAAAATAAAAAGCAGAGATAATCTCCCAGGCTTTGGTTACGGCTGACTTACTGTTGCTTTGTTCTGCCACGTATGATTTCTAGGTTCTCAAAAGCATGGAGGTCTGTCCAGTTTTCAGGCCAAGCCTGAATCAGCAAAAACCCTAGAGGGGAGGAAGAAAGACTTAGACACACGATGCTGGAAAGTTCTTTGTTTTGTAGGAAGCATGTTCTAGGACTCATGGTGTACAGACAATGGCAGTGGATTCTCTGGTCCTCACCACCAAGGATGACAGTGTACATACTGACACATGTCCCGGTGATCTTTAAAAAAAAAAATGAAATCCTGCCTCCTCCATGGAACTTTGAATCTCTGAGTGCACCTCTCTCAACCCCCAGGCCGATTTCCACCCTACAGGCTGAAGATGTGCCCTGGCTCTGTTATCCTTCAAGGCTATCAGATTACACACTTGGTTCCTTCTCTGTCTTCAAGTAGCTGCTTACTTAGTCTCATTTTAAATGCTTTCTTCATTTAACTCTGATCCCCACATCAGTCTTGTTTCTCAGATCTAATTATCCCTTTTTAAAGATGAAGAAAACGAAGTGCAGGTGGCAGTCAAGAATCCAAGACTCCCCGGTGGGCAATCAGTTGAAATCTACTTCAGGAACCCTGAAACCCGAGAACCCGCATCTCCCCTCCTTTTTCTCTCCGGGACTTGAGGTCTGTGAGGATGAAGGCCTGTCTGACCTGGGAAGAACTGTTACATGTGACCACATGAGGTCCAGCATGGCTTCAGCCTTGGCTTAAAGTGCTTCCAATGTGCACAAAGGGAAACAAATTTTACAAACTCTCTAAGAATTAATCCTAACGGTAGAGCTTCAGACACCACATTGCTATGCCAGAGAAGAAGGGGGAATGTCTGGTGGTTTCTGTAAAATTTAATCTACTGTGTGTGCTCCCGGATACGAACCTGTTATTTCCTTTACGGTTTTTAGAATATCTAGTTCCCGTGGGTCTAGAGGAGGGGTCCGTGTGAAGGAATCCCTGAAACAGACAGCAACATGATTATTGGTCATTTTCCATGGCTTCTAAGAAGTAGATTTGGCTGCTCTCTCTCCAAGTCACTCAGCTGTTACTTACCCCTTAAAGGCCACTGGCAGGATATGAAGGTCCCCGCTGATGGCAGTGCAGTATTTGAAGTGTTTGATGTTAGTCGCATTTATGGAGAGCGTGTCTTTAAATTCGCCAATGCCTATGCCATTACAAACTGTTAAGAGAGAGATTTGTTCCATTTACCTTTGCTGAACTAAGAAGGCGGCACCGGCACAGGCAGAAGCACGAACCCCTGTACCAGTCATCGTTCACTCATCCCGCTCTGAGGGGACCCTCCAGGTGTCGGGACTCCTGGCAAGCTTTGGTGTTCCAGTCACTGGAATGGGGGCTTGGGGTTGCCCTTGTCACAGACCTTGGCTGGCTTTGAAGTCTCCCTGTTGTTTTGGACTTCAACTGAATCTAGCTACTCATAAAGACATTGGTTCCCCGTTTTTCTCTCCAAGACAGTTCACCTACCTGGGCTGTAGGTGGCACCACTGTGCCTGGTTCAAGGGAATGCCCCCCCCCCCCCCCAATCTTGGTAACTTGGCTTTGCTAGTTTGTCTTCTACTTTACAGACAAAGATGTGCATTTTCCTTTTTAATTAAAAGAGTAAGGTGTGTTTGTTTGGAGGGGGACGTGAGAGTCCGGCACAAAGGCCACAGAAAAGAGTTGTCTACACCCGTAGATGCCCTACCTTTGCGACAGGGCCCGTCACACTTTTTACACTTGCGAGCACCGTCTTCCTCCACTTCATAGTAGTCAGGACCGCAGGCCCGGACACACGAGCCGTGATCTGTCACCACGTAGTTTCCTGAGGAAGGGACGATGAAAAGAAGGTGTTGAAGGCCATGGCAGGTGTGCCCAACCTTCCACAAACATCCTCATGGCCTGCTCTACATGGGCCACCGGAAAGGTCTCTGATAGTTTGACTGACTTTACATCGAGGAGAGAGGTTGACAGGTTTCAACTCGAAAGAGAATCAAGTTTGAGTTTAATGACTTTCTGACGGTAATGTGGGGAAACACAGACATTTGATCACAGGCATCAAGGGGAGAGGGAGGGAACAGCACTGTGCATGCTCACTGACCAGAAGCCTGTCTGTGAACATCAGCCTCCTTTGTCAGGTACGTGTTTGGAACTTTCAGGTAAACCTTGAAATTGTACGTGACACCCATTAATGCGTCTCAAACAGCCCATGTCCCACTGAGGTGACTGCAGTTTGTTCTGTGTTTGACACCAGCTTTGCTCTTCCCCACCTGCCATGTGGTCCTTGGGGGAGCAGTGAGGGGACCAGCTTGTGCTGCTTCCCAGACAGGCACCCCAATCTCTTTCTCCCCTTTCCCTCACCTTTTTGTGGTCTACCTCATTTAATATTTATGATTATAGTGTGCACTAGAGACTCTTTGCCCCCATTTTGAGTTTCCTAAATAGATCCCCCAAAGTATGGGCATTGGTAGTCTGCGAGTCATATGCTCTTATTGTTTAAGGTTTTGAGTGTTTTCTGTGGGTTTTAAAGCCCTGTTAACTAAGTCTTCACACTGAGTCCATCTGTGGCATGACTGGGCAAGTTTTCCTTCATCTTAGTTTTCTTTTACTTTACAGTGGCTTATTATTCTATTTTTCCTCCTCCTCCTCCTCCTCCTCCTCCTCCTCCTCCTCCTCCTCCTTCCTCCTCCTCTTCCTCCTCGTCCTCCTCCTCGTCCTCCTCCTCCTCCTCCTCCTTCTTCTTTCTCTCTCTTTTTTTTCTAAATAGACTTTCATCACCTAAATCTAGGTAGGCAAAATCTTATCCTTCTAGTTTCTCTTTTACATTTTTTTTTGGGGGGGGGGGCTCTCAATTTCCTTTCTAGAAGTCAAGATTGGCTCTTAAGGTTCTTTATACATTGCTTTACTTCTATGTTTGGGAGTGATCTGTGTTGCCATTTCCCTATAGGTTCCAGCAGAGTACAATCATACATAAACACCAAACCCAAATGAGGAAATGAAAGCAAAACTGAAACTGCAGTCCTCCAAGATCCCAGCCTTAGCCATAGCCTTTTCTACTCAAGAAGGCAGATCTGCTGCGTTTTCTAATTTAGGTCTGTTAAATGCCAGCATCGTAGAGAGTCAAACAATGATGGTCCCAGAAGGTGGTGATTTTGTGGTTGTCAGTTCCAGGACACCCCCATGTTATATAGCTGGCCCTCAGACTTGGCGTAAAACAACAGGTGTCTTTTGTTAACAAAATCTGTTCGCCAACAACATGAGGACCAACACAGGTGAAGCCACCCTTACAGGAGAAGAGGAGCCCTGCCTGCCACAGGTTGCCTCTGCCTCTGCCCCTCAGCACTGAGCTGGCTGCTCACCTTCGTATCTAGCTGGGCATATGCTAACCTACACAACAAGGCAGGCACAACAGGCTCCAAACTGCCTAAGAGTCCAGGATAAGACGAAAGAGGTCATGGAGGATGGGTGAATCAAAGGTGAGCAACTCACGGGGGCATTTCTTCACACAGGTGGCTCCAAAGCTGTACTTCCCTTCCGGGTTGACATCCATCTGGTAGGTGGTGGGGTTGTACAGCATCAGCGGTGGGCAGGTGTCTTTGCATGTGGCTTCGTCTCGGAACCTGTGGCAGACCTGTCACAGGAGGGACAACATGGCTGGTCAAGGACGTGCCATCCAAATGAAAGAAGCCCAAGGCCAGGCAGCCTGAAGTCAGGCAGGCCAGTGGCAGCTCTCAGTGCTTAGGTGATCAGTTAGAGTGGGGAGAATCTAGTAAGCCTTTCCATGGTAGTCAGAAACACCTTCCTCTTATAATTAATAAGTATTATTTTTAAGCATATGACTGTCCCAGTAGCTATAACTTAGGGTTTGTGGTTGGAAAAAATATACCTCTATGGATTACAGGTGATGAAAAATAAAGAAACATGGCAGGGCAAGAATGATATGGCATTATTTTTAAATCCAGTTTACGTTGGGTTTCTCTTATAAAGAGCACTTTAGAAAACATTTTGGAGCTTGTCAGGAATCTTAGCAGAAAGGTTTCATGTGGAAAGGACCAGACTCAAGGTTTTGGCTCTTACTAAGAACCCCATGTGGAGTCTTCCCCCCTGGGCTTCTCATTAGATCCAGCCCAGACTGCCCAAGTGAAAAAGAAAATTCCCAGGCCCAGCTCTGATTTCTGGGATTTAAAAATCTTCCATTTCCAGAAGCCGTAGAATAGTCTAGACTGTAGCTTAGGGTGGACTTCCTCTTCCGGAGCCTGACGGGGCCTTGCTTGGTTTTATACCAACCCCAGGAATCACATTCACCAGCCCTGGCACATGCCAAACTTCACACTAGAGCTTTTGCCAGAGCTTTGGTTGTGGAAGGGGGGGGGGGGAAAGACACCGTGTGATGGTGTGGACTAGGGGAGCAGCCCAAGAAGCATCGGAATATGGCGGGCAAAGCAGATGATTCCAAGGCTATACTGCCCAAAGATCTGTAGGACACATGTCAGGGGCTCTTAAAGAAACAGCTCTCTCCATTTGTTACAGTGTCGCTGTTGGTGGCCAGGACAGCACTTATTGACAATGTATCCTACAAGAAGGCTTCTGTCACAATCAGTGGGGAACAAGCACAAAGCTCCCCAGCCCAGCTCCCCAACGCCTAGAGTCTTACCAGACAGTCACTCTCTCTGGGCCCCGTACACCCAGCGGCGCACTGGTTGTGGCAGCAGTCACTGGGGGACCTGCCACGACAACGCCGGGAACATTGCTGGGCACAGATGATTTTGGTCACTGAAAAAAAGAAAGATCACTGGAGAAACACTGGCAAACTTTGAGATTTGTTTGTGCTAGGAAAGGGGGAAGTGAGAGCTGAGAGCAGAGCATCCTGCATGACTCGGGCACTTGGGTAGCTGACTTCTAGGCATTTTATGACAGGCTGAAATATCCCGAATGGTTAGCCTTAGATAGCTGTGTGCAGTGAGGTTGGTAAGACCGCCGTTCATGAAACAGTTAACAATGCTTGCTTTGCCAACCTTCTGTGCTTGTCCAGTTACCAAAGAGCAGGAGAGGATGGCCACACACTGTGTGGACTCTGCCCACAGCGGCGTGTTTCTCAGACCCTGACCCTGTGCCGACTTACATTTCTGGCAGTTCTCTTCTCCTCCTCCCCAGCAACTTCCATTCGGACAGCCCGGATCACATTTTTGGCCTGAAATAAAAATCTAGTAGTTAAATGTGCATTCTGATAAAAGTGAACAAATGACATGGAAGCAATGATGCCTCCCCCAAGGTCCCAGAGGATGTTCTAGAAACAAGGAGCAGTTTGGAAACTTTGCACTCGTATTTGGCTTGGATGATTTTTCTGTTCAGCTAAAAGACTCGTTCAAGAAAGGAAAACCCGTGGAGTGGTTTTGTTGACATTTGAGCTGTGGAAACTGAGAGAATACTTCTGACTTGTCACAATCACAAAGATGACAAATCTACATGAACCCAGGGTCCAGGAGGTGCCAATATTCGTGTCTACGCACTCCCCTTGCTATATCCAATCTCGACTGAGTGGTGGGCAATCACCGTTGGGTTTAGGGACATGAAATCAGGGCTGGCAAATCAGCACCCTTCTCCTCCAAGCCACGGAGTCATGTAGAACATTCCACAGGAAGGGAACATTCTTATTCTGTGAATCATTTGGCCAATTACCTAAAACTTTAGCTAATAGCCGGCCTGTTATTGTCTGGAAATCTTTGTAACTCAACCATTTTTGTATTTTTGTATTTGGTCAATATTAAATTGCAGCTATAAAGGATTCTAATCTCTTGAATTCCATTCTGAAATTAATCCCACCGAGAAACGCAAAGATCAAAGCGTGAGGCAGCATGTTTGTTGGAAAGAACTGCGGTGTGGATTGGATTTAGTTTTCTTGCTTTTATTTTCTGTGGTTCTGGGTACTTAATGTTTCCACTGGGCTTTTAAAAACCACTCTATTTAGTTCTAATTCCCTCTTTGGGGACAAGCAGTTATCATATAATATAACTTTATTTCACAGGGAAGCTTATTTGACGGTGTCTGAGTTTGGTTTCTCAACTTGTCATTGTAAATATTCACCCTCATGTTCCCTTCTAGGATTTAAATATATATTCATATTTATTACATATACTTAGTACATGTTTAAAATTTATATTGAGGTATGAAGTAGCTGATGAATGTATTTATTTTCTTTCATGTAAGTCCACTCATGCAACCTTAAGTTCTAAACCTTATCAATAATAATATACGTTGGTCACAGTGGGCAGCTCTTCTGAGTCCAGACTCCTCACCTACATAACAGTTAAAATGACCTCGTAATACTGATTTCGTTCTTGTTACAGATGAAATACAGACTTCTCCAAAGGATTGTGAGTCTGAGAAGCACTGGTCAATGGAAGAGAGTGGAAGGTAGGAGACACAAGAGACAGATCTCTTCTCTTTTAATAGGTATAATTTTAACGTACTTACTTGATTTTTAAAAACTCCAGCATGCTGTTTGTCTCTTAATCATTGTCATTACAGAACAATTTATTGAAGGCATTCTTACTGAAATGTCTCTTGTTTATGCAATTTTGATTCATTTAGGCTTATTCTCATGACTAGTGCTACAGTTTGGGTACGTAATGACCCCTAAAGGCTCGTATGTTAAAGGCTTTAGATCACAGAGTGGTGATAGCAACTTTAAGAGATTGAACTAATGACTACCCTGGCAAGATGTGCCCATGGGTACAATAGTGGCCTTAACGTTATGAGGGGGTAAACTAAGCATTCTCCAGTTGGACTTAAGATCAACCCCACAGGAGGAAACACATGCCTGCTGCTATAAATCTGGCCGAAAACTTATGGCTTGGAGCTCCTAAGTCTTGGGGAAGAATTCGCTACTCTTATTCTGCTAAAGGAACATAGCATCACACTGCCTTCAAAATACTTAGCTTTCTGCCATAGATTAGTGCCCAGTCCTCATCAGAGAGACGTCTTTGTGTAGTAAATGATGATTACCACAAAGACTCCGTGTCTGTGGAGTGCTCAACCGTGCACAGGACATCTGGATCACAGCCCTCACTCCTACAGCTCTAGGCACATCACAAAAAAGAGGGGAGAAAGATTCTATGAGGTTCAGGAGGGACTACTATGGAACAGCATCTTCTGGACACAACTGGGCTGTTGTACTTGCGACCTCACAGCAACTGTGGCTGCCTGCCCAAGGCCTGCAGAAGACCAAGCCAATCAGCATTCAAGCATGGGTGGGTGAAGGGACAACGAGAACCTACTCCTGGCTGCTGGAGGAGGGAGAGCCATTTTTCAAGGGTGTGGCCCCTGGTCAGTGAAGCATGTTCCAGTGGATGCCCCACACCCGTGCACATACATGCGGTACTAATTGTAGTCAGTGGGTTATTAAAAAGATATGAAAGTGGGAGGGAGGCACGGAAGCAGAGGAGTTGGGAGGATTACAATTCATTGTATACATGTATGTCATCGTCAAATAATAACTTCAAAGCATTATATTAAAACAGAGGTGGAAGTATGGGAAGCCCAGTCATCAAAGGCAATGTCTTTGAGGGGACAAGAGGATCTGGACCCGTTCTCTCTTTCACTTATGGTGCCACAAGGTGACCATGGCTGCACAAAATTTTGGACAAATAATGACTAATATCACAGATTTCCTAAGTTTTTCACCCCAACTCTTTTAATCAAGGCATCAATAAAAAATAAAGCAACTGAGAAAAAAAAAAGCTACAAGACTTTTAATTGATGTCTTTTAGGATTCATGTAGGCTCCACTGGAGGTCTAAACCAAGCTCGTGTGAAGCTCAGTTGCAGGAACAGGAGAATAAGAAGCGGGTCCATGCCTTATCTCGTACTGTGAAAAGATCAGTACTGTTAGGAAGAACAGTCTTGGTGGAGCTTGGAACGTGAAAACACCCTATATCAAAGTTTCCTATCCAGTGCTAGAGAGGGTCACAGGTTGAGTCCCCATGCTTAGCTCTGGTCCTCTGCAAGGCCCTCAGTTGCAGGGGGCTGCTGAAGGAGTGGGGGCATTGGTTAGCTGAGAACATTCAGGAAAGCACGGACAAATCTTCTCTCCGTGGTTTTGTGTCAGAGTGTTTACACTGATAAGTTGATGAGCAGAGTCCACAGGATCAGGATGACCTGAGTACCACTGTGAGAATCAGGAACCAGACAGATGTACACGTGACTGGGCCATGCCCATGAGGCAGAAGGGGAGACGCCATATACCGTGACTACCCCTGCAACCTGTATCCGGGAGAAAGGTTCTCTCTGCTCAGTGATCTCACAAATGCTCCACCACCCTTGAAGAGATGGGTGTTGCCTTGTACAATGAAAAAAAATTTCTTACATTACTGTCTTGAATAAAATTCTAATGGAAAGATCATTTGTTTACTTCTTTTGTTGTTGTATGTTGATCTAAAGTTAGCATCCTCTTTCCCACCCCAACACTGCCCACGTCAACTCCTCAGAGGATCTGAAGCTAATGGAAGGTGAATGAGGCACTTACAGCTTCTCGGCTGGTTTTGTGATTCCATTGACATGTTGCTCAGAAAGACATCCTGCACGATGTCCCTCCACTGGATGGTATCCACGTAGCAGAGGATGGGGTTGTTGCTGAATCGCACAGCGCCGGTCAGGATTTCTGAATAAATGGAACCACAGTAACCAAACTCTTTGATTCCCATTAACTCACAAATGCATGCACTCTTTTCTTTACATTTCTAATATTCTGCTTAATGCTGCCCGTGTGCAAATCCAAAGTCCCCAAGGTCGGCCCCATAGAAGACCCGCTAGAGATATATGAAGATACACTTCATGATAATGAAGGGAAAACTTATGAGTTTTTAAGGATTGGGTTGTGGATTTTAGAGATGCGGTAGCAGGAAGAGAAAGCCTACTCAGTATGCACGGCAGAAAGGCCATGTGTACAGTGACTTGTAGATCTGGGGTCATATCAGACAGACTAGGATGATTGGATGACGTGGAGGTGAAGTTGGAGATGAAGGACAAGGGGGAAATCCTAGGTATTTGGACTCTGAAGACCAGGGCTGTCACCAGGTGACTGTCACCAGGCTTATTCTTAGGTGCCACTAGAGGATTTCCGCTGAAGAAGGAAAGAGTGTGAGTGTGAAATGAAATAAGAACCTTATGTATGAAGATGACTCAAATAAATGCCAGTGGTGCAAGGTCATATAAGGACACAGAGTTTTTTGGAAAGAAGAAATGAGAGGACTTTTACAAAGTCAGGGTTGATCAAAAGTCAAATTTCTACAAAGGAAGAGGGCTACGTTAGCAACATTAGATATGACCATGGACCGAATGATTTATAAATAAAAAATCCACAGATGCTCTGGTCTGCAAAGGTAAATTTGACTTGCAGGTTTCTTCCAGAGAAATGAAATGCACAGAGAGACAGAAATGTCTCAGCTATGTCCAAAGGAGACAGGACTGAGAAGTGGGCTAGCTGATGTGTAGGTGTCACCTCCAGTGATCCTCATCTGTTGGAGGAAGGCCACTTGTTTGTTTTCTGGCTGCTTAGACCCGAAATAATCACTTAGAAGCTATATTTTTTTTTGCAATACTGTTTGGCCAATAGCTTAAGTATATTTGTAGCTAGCTCTTATATCCTAAACTAATGCATCTCCATTAATCTGTGCATCACCACAAGGTCATGGCCTACTGATAAAGTTTTGGCAGGCTCCAGCAGAGGCATTTGTCTCCTGTGGTGGCTACATGGCTTCTCCCTGATTCAACCTACTCCCTCTATATGTCTCTTCCCGCCTGGCTATATTCTCTTAAGCCATTGGCCAAAAGCAGCTTCTTTATTAACCAATAAAAACAACACATATACAGAAGAACTTCCCACACCATTTCACCTTTTCTGTTTAAATAAAAAGGAAGGTTTTAACTTTAACATAGTAAAATTACATATAACAAAGCAGGTATCAAGCAAGAATTGCAGTTACAATATTTATATCTACTTTATTTTTATTACAACTAAGGAAAACTGTAACTATCTATTCTTTAACTCTATCAAAGACTCCAAAAGGATATAATATATCCATTGTAAGCAACTTCCTTTTTAGATATAAGAGGGGAGGTGATGTGGGAGGTAAAGTATGCTGTGAATATGTTTTATTGTCATTGGTTAATAAAGAAGCTGCTTTCGGTCAATGGCTTAACAAAGTAAATCCAGGCTGCAAGAGATATCAGGAGAAAGAAGAAAGAGTCAAAGGGAAAAGCCATGTAATTGCCCGTAGGAGACAGACGCACCAGAACCTTGCCAGTAAGCCACAGCCATGTGGTGATACACAGATTAACAGAAATCAGTTAACTTAGGATAAAAGAACTAGCTATCAATACACTTAAGCTATTGGCCAAACAGTATTGCATATAATATAGTTTCTGTATGATTATTTTGGGTCTAGGCAGCTGGGAACAAGTGAGCAGCTTCTGGCTACACTGATAAAGATCTAAAGACTATCATTCAAATATGGAAAAATGTCTAGAGAGACAGCATACACTGCCCTTCTAGGGGACCTGGGTTTGGTTCCTAGCACCCATAGTGCTTGTAACTCTAGCACCAGGGGGTTCAATGTTTCTGGCCTCCATGAGCACCTATATCTATATGCAAACCGCACCCCCACTCATATGCCTATAATTAAAAGTTAAAAAAGCATAAACATGGGAAACCCAGATATAGATACCAAAGTGAACTCACCACCACAAGGCAGGAATGGGAAGCTCCTGCCTGCACGGAGTGCTGAAATGGAAAAGGAGGGGCTCTCTGGGGAAGCTTGCAGAGACTGCTGGGTGACAAGGAGAAGAGATTTGCACGTGTTCAGGAGCATAGTTTAGAGGAAAAAGAAGCTGGAAGTGCTGAAGGCTTCCAGCAGACAGAGACACAAAGCAGAACTGCCGATCTGGGGCAGGTGACAGTTCTCTCAACAGATGACAGGGGATAAAAGAACTTCAGAAGGAAGGCAGGCAGGCCAGAAAGGGCCAAGTTGGGGAACTCTGCCTGGAAAATAGAGGCGACAACAGTATGATAGAGAAAAAGGAACCAGAGGTATGAGGTCAAACTTAGCAACATCAGATAGGCACAAACACCCAGGTTACAGTGACCACCAGGAGAAGAGACAAGTAAGCACAGAAGGGAAAAAACCAATAATAGGTAACAACAATAATTACGTGAGAGGGGGCAGGATTCAATTAGCTTCCCCCTTCTAACTGAATAGCGTTAGAAGGTAATGAGTAGAAAGTCAAATCTATTTTTATTTCAAAATTCAGGAAATTCTCAGTTGTGGCAGTCGTCCTATATTAAATAACTGGGATCTGTACAATTACCTTACATTAATTATAAAAAATAGGGGTATTCCGGGGTAAGGGCATGCACACACATGCACACGTACACAGAATAGCAACAACAGCAGTAACAACCACAAACTAGGAACTCAAGTCGCCATTGCATGCTTTGACTGTGGTAATAGAGTTGAATTTGTCAACACAGAGGGAGCGCGTTGGCCAGTGTGTGTACTACAGTTCTGACGTGAGGGCACTGAGAGGCAGAGAGAGAGAGACACACAGGTGAAGGAGTAGTTACAGAGATGTTTAGCTGATGAGTGACGGAGCCGGGGCTGGAACACAGACAGCCTGGCTCCAGGAGCCAGACTCATACCCGCAGACTTCCTCACATGTCTGAGGCGAGACAGGCAGAACAAGGCATGCCTCAAGTCCCAAACAGGCCATTTCATGCACTGTGTGTATGGGAGAGATGAATGCTAGCACAAATTCAGAAGCGTGCGTGGGTGCTCGGAGCAGTTAAAGTGGTGGGTGGCAGTTCTGAAGGCGGTTTATAGGCTGGTGAACCAGAGAGCAGGGGAAGGAAGTGTCTGACTGGCTGTGTGGCCACATCCTAGCTCCACACACTGGTAGGTTCCCACTCTCTGTTCCCTTTCTTTTCACCCCATCCCCTTCCCAACCCATACTTCCCCATCAGAGCTGCAGGGCACACAGAGATGACAGAATCAGCCACGGGGTAGAGGACTGTGGGCGAGTGATCTTATTGCCATGCCTTTTTTTTTTTTAAATGACAATGTACAATACCTGCTTTTAAAAAAGGCCATGGCACCAAGTGGACTTACTGACTTGAGAAACAGTCCATGACATGGAGGAAGAATTGTTGTTTCTCAACCTCTCGTCCATCTTTTCCAGTTTCCTCTTCAGATTCAAAACCTTCCCTTCTCTTCCCAGCTTACCCTGAGTTTCCATGAACCAATATGAACCTTGAAGCCTGCTTCTCAAGCCTGGCAGGGTTTTTAGTTCAGTAGACCCTGTCCCAGGAGTGGTTTTGCTCTCTCCAGGTTCAACTGTTTTTGCTCCTCTGGGAGGAACATCAAGTGAGCAAACTCATAAGCTGTTGCTGTAGCACATTAATTGCTTTGCTATTTTTCATTGCTGTTGTCAATGTTTTGCTATACCTAACCAATGAGCTGAATTCTGAAAGGCATGCAGATAGAGAAAAAACAAGGCATGATTGGGATACCTGATGTTTCAGATGTCCAGTTTCGCCTAGGAATAAGTCCCTGCAAGATGAGGGAGTGGCTGCATGTCCTTTCTGCCTCTGGCCCAAGCTTACTTCCTACTATCCCAAACTCTCACTCACCAAGGTTGGCTGGATCCAGAGAACTCAGTCATTGATTCCTATCTCTGGATATTATTCCTCATCCATGGAAGAACTGATTTCTACCTGGCTGAAATCTCTTTCCATCCTATGGCCATCTACATAACTGCTACCCACCGAATCCTGCAAACAGCACTCAGTACATGTATTTGATAGACATATCTTCTCTGAGTTAGGATCAATGGAAGCGACAAATTCGCCTCTCTGCCTTGATGTCCCACCTCTTACCCTGTAAGTTCCGCATGGGCAGTTCTCTAAGACCAGTTTTGTTTTCCCCATAGTTGGACAGGACAGCTAAGGCATAGGTGTTCTCATATAGAGTGTTCCCCCTGATGATCTGCAGGTTCTCCAGAGGGATCTTCTCCACGGTGTTGAGAGCAATGAGCACATAGCCAGCCACCTCCTGGATGGTCTGAGAGAGAGGAAAAGCCTATTAAAGTGGATGCAAAAACCGCGTTTAACTTCACAATGACACATTCATGTGGCAGATAAATCTAAGACACGTAGACAACTACACTTGGGTGAAGGGTGTGGCAGGGTTTGCAATGATTCTTTCATGTCTGCATTTGTATTCAAGAAGCCTGCATTAAAATTTGCATTTGACGTGTTGGGAGTCTCACTTTAACTCAAATGAAGACAATCATTTTGAATGAATCTCTCATGATGTCTTGTGGAAGGAAGAAGGGAGGGAGACATGAATTAAAGAAATGAAGTCAAAGTGAACCCAACCGATGTCTGAGTATCAGCAAAGGTTGTTTTGAAGCCTTCAGAGTTTGCTCCTAAAGGCTCAGTAGGATTATTTAGGAATTTGTGAACCAGTTATAAATTTCTGGTAGCTTGAGATTAGCCATGGCGTAAGCATTTTTACCAAGTGTATAGGTACACAGCACAAAGCAGTGCTTTTTAAGGTTATGATTGTTATTATTTGGAAAGCTAATATGTCAATAACGTCATCTGGTGGAGGCAATGTCTAGCTGTCAATGTTAGCACCTCTGAGGACTGTGAAATATCAGAAGGGGTTCCGTCCTATTTTGTTTTCCACAATGAATTTGACTGTAGCTGATCAAATGTTATGAGAGGACTTCTCATAATACTCTCCTGTAGTCCCTGGGACTTGTGGCTTCCCTAAGATGAAGTATCCATGCCTCAAGTCAAATTCTTCTGAGGTTTCTCTCTGCTCGTGTTTCATTCTATAGTGTTTGTGTAGGACAACCCAAATGCAATGCACTCACCTTTAAGAAGGAAAGGTCATAATTCTTTTGCACGTAGGTTATTTCCAAGTTCCCAAGGACCACTTCACAGTTGTTGAACATCCTCTGCAGGCTCAGAAAGTGGTCTTCGAAAGTGCCAAGTTGGGTGAGTCTGTTACTCGTGCCTTGACAAACTAGAACAAAAGGGAAAGAGGTCTCTTCAAAGATGCTGAGTAAGGTAGCAAACCACAACAGAACAATATTCGTCAGCTTTCCGAGCCACAGTGACTAACAATCATCTTTGATCAAAGCCACCGCCACGCTGATGTGGTTAGAGATGCTTAAGTTGACATAGCTGTAATCCGCAGTAAGACAGAACTCATCCCTGTGATGGATGTGATCATATGGTATTAAGGATACGGAGCAAACAAGGCATTAAAAGTTGAAGGCAGGGCGGGGGGAGACGCACCTTCTATCAAGGTTCTGTGTTTGTTACTTATCTTGTTTCTGTGGCAAAAGAAACAAGAAGGGAGAGGGCTAGTTCAGCTTCCAGTTCCAGGGGAGATAGTTAACAATGGCAGAAAAAGAATGGCGTCCCAAGTGTGGGACAACTGGTCACATAGCATCCGCAGTCAGGAAGCAGAGAGAGGTGAATAGCATTCAACTTCCTTTCTCCTTTTCCTTAGTTTGAGGACCCCTGGCATGGAGTGGTGCTACCCACCTTTAGGGTAGAACCCAACCTAGAAAACTGTTCAGAGATGTGCCCAGATGTCTGTTTCTATGGAGATGCTAAATCTTGTCATGTTGACAATCAAGATTAACCATAGCAGTCTCTAAAACAGGGTAGACTTAAGAGTGCCTGTAGAGAAAGATATCCATCAAATCCACATGTATGACACAATTGCAGGGTGAGTTAATAACAATGCAATGAACAATGCAGAAAATAAGGGCACTGCCTTGTTGTGTATACAAGGAGTCTCCAAAACCACAACACTCAATAGGAACTGTTTTCTAACCACAATTCTGTGTACGCAAAATCAATGAAAACAATGGAATTTTAAAAGTCAACCGTTAGAAATTAAAAATACTCTTCAGAATCATCCAAGGACAAATCAAAGTTCTGATTATAAAACACCCAGAGATTTTTAGATGAAAAGACAGTGCTGTAAAGCAGTAGGTTAGTAAAAACCAACATGTCCTTCTGTCTTTTACACATGTGTTAATCAAACCAACATAGGTATCCATATGTTTGCCTTGTATCTCCTGCCAATACACAGTGTGTCAAGACATAGACTTAACCCAAGAAAACATGTGAAATTAGGGGCCAAGGTTAGACCACAGAAATGTACTCAAAAGTCTACATTTAGAAGCAAAGGAGAGGGCAGTAATAAAACGGTATTTACAACTTGGCTTTTGGGAAGACATGTTTAGGCAAGCATAACAAAACAAAGAGACTTGGAGCTTTTGAAGCAGGGAGCTTGTTAAAGGATATACTTTGAACCAAAATTATCCTAAGAGTGAAGAAATATGGCATCTGGGTTTAGACATTACATTTAGAACTGGCCAGATCCTTTGGTGTTGGCTAAGTTGCTCCCTTGACAGTCACAGTAACCAGGGGACAGAGCACAAAATAAGGCCAATGTCAACACGGTGGTACTTCCTTCAGGTACGTTTACAATATGCATTCATGTTTTATAGGCTTCTTTGTTCCCTCCCTTTGGGTTGTTCTAAGAGCATCATCTGTCTGGCCTTGCACGGTGGAGCCACAGTAAGCAACCGGCACATGTTCAGACACCACAGAATCAACCCAAGGTATTTACAGACATTATGAAGCAATCGTCTCATCCTCTTTAACTCTATGGGAATTTCTCTAGCCCCCATCCATTTTCTCCAATGAATTCAGCGGAAGCGATGGCTCTCACATAGGAACTGTGAAGGTGACAGGTTGGGGTCCCTATCTCCAACCTGTAAAGACGGTTGAAGGGAAAACTAGACAATCAGGAGTGCTTCAAGCTCCAGAAAGAATGTAGGAATTTTACTTCCTTCCTGCAAACCCAGGACAGAATAAAAGTTGTGCGACTCAGGTCTTCAAAGCACATAGCTTCTGGTCCTCAAACTTTAGTAAAAGCGTTTATAAATGTATGCAAAAGCTGAAGGAATTGCCAATATTAGCATCCTCACAAATACTAATAATCTTCACTGTACTCTAACCCATTTCTATTCAGATCTATCTGGTCCATGGTCATACTGTAAAAAAGGAGGAAGCATCAGCAGACGGCTCCTTGACTCACAGCTGTACACTTGGCACACTTTGCTGGGTTTACAGATGTTTTTGAGGCACTGCAGGCACTGAGATGATCTAAACTTCCACCATGATAGAAAATGTCGCTGTCTTCCTGAACCTTCCTTCCCAGGTGGGCTTGGCTCACACGAGGCCCAATCGGACTCCTAGGATTTTCACTGCGGTGTGGTCTTGCCTATGGAGCCCTCGGGTAGGAGTGGGACTCATGAAATGCTGCCCTTCAAGTTGAGTTCACTCCCCAGCCCAGCATTTTGGGGATTAATCTTTGCTTCTGTGACAGATTCTGGGCAAGCACATTAAGAGAAGTTATTTGTGCATTTTCTTAAGACACAGAGGGCTGATTTGAGGCGCGTTTCCTTAAGGAAACCTTCACTTAACTGAAATTACGGAATTGGTCCTGGGATTATGGGGTAGGCTATGGCAGGTCTATGCTAACATTGCATATACAGCTCTCCTTGCCCACTGCACTGATTAACACGCAGTGTAAGACAAACTTCTCCAGAGTCCTCCAAGTTCATTTGCACACTTTCAGAAGTGCCCACAGAAACTCACCCTTGCTTTAGCTCACTGTTCTTCCCAGTGGCCAAAGTTACGGGGTTCTTGGAAATGTCCCCCCATCACCTCTGAAGCTGTCTCTGTTTCTGTCCTTGCCCTGTTTCCTACAGTATATTCCACTTTAAAGTGGAGATCACATCACACAAAGCCTGGGTCCAAGCCATCGGAATGTTTCCTGGTGTAATTCCAAGGAGCAAAAGTTTCTCTTTGGGTCCACGGGCTTTTCACTTCTTTCCATTTTCCTGCTGGCTCTTTGGTCCAGGAACTCACTTTTGATTTCTCTCAAACTCACATAGCATTTGCTTAGCAGGCTGCCCACACCCAGCACCGGATACCTTGCTCTCCTTTTTAGTATGGACATGGCGATTCCATAAGTAACTGTCAGAAGAGGCAGTCCTAACTCGCAGCTGCGCCCTATCATACCTCTCAAGCTTCTTTTCTTCCACTGTTCTTCCTCTTTTCTTCCTTCAAATGATTCCTTCTGCATTTATTGTCGACTTTCGCCCATATGTATATATATACCACATATTCAAAGGTGGGAGAAATAAAATTATAACTGTACGCAGCCTGTACATTTTTTTCCTCATCATTGTTTTTTAAATAAAATAGCAGTGTTTTCTATAGCATTTACACTGCAGAAGGTGTTATAAGAACTAAGCAATCTTGGGACGACAACATAGAGACAGGAGGAGATTTACACATAAATACCACTTTTAATACGGTAACGGCATCCAGGGAGATCCTCGTACTCATCATCCGAGGGTACCGGGAGATGAAAAATTACACACGGGCACTCTTTGGACTGACAGCACTGATGTGCACATGCAGGATGGCATTATATTTCTATTTTTTGTTGCCAAAACAATGAGTGACCATGTGACCAAATTCTCAGACGACGCACATGGGTTTTCAGAGTTCTCATTTCTTTGTGTCTCACGAGGGAGGCATCAGAGCAGAAAGGATTTATTTGTAAAATGATATCCATCAGACTTTTCCAGCTGGTCATTTCAAGATTTTCCTAGCCAGACAACACATTTCAGTAACTTAAAAGCTAGGGAACCATTCCCATGATGTCTTACTGAGGAGCTTAAGGAAATCACAGATGAAATGGTAGTTAAATGAAGGTTTAGTGAAAAGAGTCCTGGAGACTTGCTAGAGATTTCATCCCATGGGGATAGAAATTCTGTTCTCTACTTGGAGATGATGGCCCTTCAGGTGGGAATAGCCAAAGAGGACCCAACTGCAGGTTTTCTTACATGTAAGTAAAGTTTTAATGTTGATTTTAGGGAAGATAGTGGAAATTTTCTCCATAAAGACAATGTCAGCAGACTAATTTATGAAAGTTGAAATGATAGGACAATAAAAAAAATCTTTGACTTGAGCCACAATGAATAATTAGAAAATGTAAGCATTGGTATTTATTGTACACCAAGCCAAAGGTTTTACGCAATGGGGAAAATCTTACGATTTTAAAGACCTGTCTTTACCGAGTGATCTCCCTCCGAGGTTCTCTTAGCTATTTCCCTCTCTGTGACAACTGGGAACTAGTTTCCAGTTAGTGGGCATGTGAACAGATGTGACAAGCTGCATCTAGAGTGCAGCTCAGGAAGAAAGGCAACGCAATCCTCAGAGAGAAAAGTTCTCTTACGCTCTTGAAGGTTTGCTTTGCGTGTTATCACAATCGTGTGGTGCTAACCGTGGCAAGCCGCAGCACGCTTACACAGCTTCAAGCCCAAACCACAGTTACGTTAGCAAGCAACGCACATGAGAATAACATTTCCTCTATTTTGAGCAGGGAAAGTCAACATCAAAACTAGTTGACTTCTATCCCCATGGTTCTCCTCCGCAGCCTCTAAATAATTCTAAAACAAATGTAGAATTTCTAAAAAGCACACCCATTAGAGGTAGGATGCCTTTGTCCGTTTTGTCCTACTTCCGTGGGAGGTAGGTGAGAGTTCTGAGTTACAGGAAGGACAGTTTTATGAGGGACAAAAGAATACGTTTCTAATGACATCATCAAATACCTTTCTGTTAACAAGACTGCCATGGTATCATTCCCCGCTGGTTAACTCCTCTTAATGTGCTAGCGAGGTAAAGACCAGTTTTGTCTATTTAAAGGGACAACGGTGAGTGTAATCAGATTGTGAACAGGGGGCTAGAGAGGTGGCTCAGTGGTTAACAGCAATTGTTGTTCTAGAGGACTCTAGTTTGGTGGCCTGCAGCAGCATGGGAAGGCTTACAGCTGCCTGGGATTTCAGCGCCAGGGAGCTTGACGTTTTTTTCCAGCCTTCTTAGTACTGCAGTTGTGTGTACAACCTCCACAGAGACACACGCATG